AATATATAGACATTTTTAAGGGACCAACTCTGTTAAATATAAAACAATATATTTTATTTTTTATTTTATTTTTTCAATATATTTTATTTCCTGAAATAAAAGCTACAGAATTACCTAATAGATTAACATATATATGTAATTAATGATTATGAATAATACATATTTTGTATCCTCTCTCTTTTTTGTTTAATTTTAAATTATTAAAATAAATTAGACAATCACATTAAATATATAATAGAAAAATTAAAATTTTTCTTATAGGTTATATTTTTAATTTTAAAAAATGACCATAAATAACTAAAAATAGTAAAATCTTACATTGAAAATTATGATCAATGGTTTAACTTTGTTTTTTTCCAAAGAAGATACGAATTATCATAAATCGTACGAGTATGAAGTATCATTAGTAGATATTCATATTATAAATATGTTAATTTAAAAATTTCAGTGAGAAGGTTTGAGGTTAGTAGATACAAATTATAGTATTCGAAAGATTTGTGTAGTTTGTTTTATTTGCTCCTTTTCTGTTAATATCTTTTAGTTTGTTTAGATAATTTAACTAATTTTAAATTAGATTTATTAATAGTTTAAATATTTTGAATTTTTTGTCAACTTTTAATGTTTAAAAAATATTTTTTGGGATGATTTTAGATATTGGTTACAATCCAATCCAAACTGAATTGAGAAGATCAAATCGAATCCAATCCGATAATTAGTAAAATTCAAATAGAATTTATGAGAATAATACTTAAATCTAAAAATACGTGTCAATCAAACCAAAACCGACAAAGTCTCAAACGTCTAGAACTATGACGATTTAAGATACCAACATTTGTATTCATCATTTTATAACCGATAAATACTGTAGTATTGCAAAATGTTAAAAACCATTTAATAAATAAATATTAGTATAAAATTTTCACTCTGCGCATGCGTGCAGGTTATCATCTAGTTATATAATTATTTCTCGACTATCAAGGTCATACTTTCATTCATTTTACACTTTATAAACAAAGTTCATCTTGTTGTCAAAAAAGAAAAAGTTCATCTTTCTTCATTCTATTGTAATCATCAACTAACTTTACTTAACAAATGATTAATGAAAGCTTAAGTTATTTCTTGAGATCAAAGCCACCTTTCTTTCCAAAAAAAAAAAAAAGTTAAGCAGGCCAATCATATATATCATCCCTTTGCTTTGACACGAAGCTTCTTCTGGTTCTTCTTAAAGCAATACACATCTCTTCTTAACATCAAATTTGTCTAAAAATTTGTTTCCTTACATAAAAGATTGCATGATTTAAATTCCCAAAATACTTTTTTTTTGTTTTCTCAACATATAAAAACATGCCATAAAAGTAAGGAAATGATATCAAATCTGGAGTCTTTGATTGACCAAAATATATTTTACCCTTTTAATCTATTTTCACTAACCCCGAAACGACATCGTATTCGCAACCACTGTTTCCTCCATCTTCTGTTTAATAAAAAAAAAAACGCACTCTCTTCCATGAGCCATCTAAAGAAGCTCTGAGGAAGAAGATTAGCGACAGAAGAAAAAACACAAAGATGAAGAAGACGAAAGGAAACATCTTTCGATTCTACGCCACTCTCTTCCTCTCTCTCCTCTCCTTCTCCTTATCTCGCGCATTCTATCTCCCAGGAGTCGCTCCTCGTGATTTCCAAAAGGTAATAACTTTTTTCGTTTTTTCTCTCCGATCTCCCGTTTTCTGTTAGAAGATCGATCTAGCGTTCATGGGTGTTACTGGTATTCTAAATTAGCGTGTGATTAGATCTTCATCTGTTGGAAAGTTGTGTCCTTTTTTTTTGTCAGTGACCGTTTCTGTTGGTAGCTTAGCTTAGTGAGTGAGTCGATGAATATTTTTGAATACCAGAGATGAAAGTTGTTACCTTTTTGTGTGTATATAGAGGGTCCATGAACGTGTTGAGTGTAAGTGTATTTGACAATCTGAGATGTAGAGATCCATGTGTGTTCTGATTGATGACGATGATCATCATTCATTAGTGTTACTAATGGTTTTAGTCTCTTTTATTGTGAATCTATTAGTGAGATTTACAGATCCATGAACCATTGTTATCTCTGAGCTGATGTCATGTTGTGAAAGTTTAGGGCTTTTGTTATATTCGTCAGTCAGATTATCTGCACTTTAAGGAGTTGATTGACTTTATTTGATGTGAATATGTGATAATGCATACAAGTTTACAAATTGCGTTTCCAAATCTTTTTTTTTCAGCTTTGATTTGATGTTTGGTTTGTCACAGGGTGATCCTCTCTATGTAGAGATCCGTGTGTTTAGTCAGATCCTTTAAACCATTTTATCTCTGGGATTAAGTCACAGATATCTGCGCTTCAAGGAGTTGATTGACTTTATTTGATCTCAATAATGCGTAATTGTTTACAAATTGCGTTTCCAAATCTTGGTTTTTCAGCTCTTGATTTGTTGTTTTTTTTTTAATATGGAACAGGGTGATCCTCTTTATGTGAAAGTGAACAAATTGTCTTCTACAAAGACCCAACTTCCTTATGACTATTACTACCTGAATTACTGTAAGCCTAGTAAGATCTTGAACAATGCTGAGAATCTTGGGGAGGTTCTCAGAGGCGACCGTATTGAGAATTCCGTTTATACTGTAAGTAAATACCCATTCCTCTCGCTCTAATTGTTGTTAGACTGCTTTTTTTTCCATACAATAACCTCTTCGTAACGTGAATTTGACCTATTCGTAAATGAATTTTTTTTTTCAGTTTCAAATGCTGGAAGATCAGCCTTGCAAAGTAGGTTGCCGTGCTAAACTTGACGCTGAGTCCACAAAAAATTTCAAGGAAAAGATTGATGATGAATACAGGGCTAATATGTAAATAGCTAATATAGCATTCTTGTTCTTTTTATCTGCCTCTCTTAGAATTTTTAATCTGTTAACCTAACCAAATTTACGGTGTAGGATTCTTGATAATCTTCCAGTAGCTGTACTTAGACAAAGGAGAGATGGAAGTCAGTCAACTACTTATGAGCATGGTTTCCGTGTTGGCTTCAAAGGAAGTTATGAAGGGGTATGTCCTTAAAATTTGTTTCTGCAGTCTTGCATTTTCTTTTTATTTTCTCTCATACCAACCAAAAGTTGATTGGCTTTTGTAGAGCAAAGAGGAGAAATATTTTATCCATAATCATTTGAGCTTCCGAGTTATGTACCACAGAGATCTAGAGTCTGATTCTGCTAGAATTGTTGGATTTGAGGTCACTCCTAACAGGTATTACCTACTGGTTGTTACTTAGTTTGCCTGATGTCTGTCTCGTTTGGAATATAAAGGTATGCTTCTCAATTTGTATAAGCTAACGAGTCTTTTATCTTTTGGATAGTATCTTGCATGAGTACAAGGAGTGGGACGAAAACAATCCTCAGCTAACGACATGCAACAAGGACACAAAGAACTTAATCCAAAGCACTACTGTCCCTCAAGAGGTTGAGCAAGGAAAAGAGATTGTGTTTACATATGATGTCTCATTTAAGGTAAAGAATTTATATTTCGACTTCCTTTTTCTTTACTGTTTGGGTTGCTAAACATTTCTTCAAAATGTTGAATCTTCAGGAGAGTGAAATCAAATGGGCTTCTAGGTGGGACACATACCTCCTCATGAATGATGATCAAATCCATTGGTTTTCCATCATAAACTCACTTATGATCGTCCTGTTCCTCTCTGGAATGGTAGCCATGATTATGATGAGAACTCTATACAAGGACATCTCAAACTATAATCAGCTCGAGACTCAAGATGAGGCTCAGGAAGAGACTGGATGGAAGCTTGTACACGGTGATGTCTTCAGACCACCGGTGAACTCTGGACTGTTGTGTGTTTACGTTGGTACAGGTGTTCAGATCTTCGGAATGTCACTTGTTACAATGATGTTTGCGTTGCTGGGTTTCTTATCTCCATCCAACAGAGGAGGACTTATGACTGCCATGGTTCTCTTGTGGGTTTTCATGGGCATATTCGCTGGCTACTCCTCATCTCGCCTTCACAAAATGTTTAAAGGAAACAAGTGGAAGAGAATGACGTTGAAGACTGCATTCATGTTCCCTGGTATCCTTTTTGCCATCTTCTTTGTTCTGAATGGTCTCATCTGGGGTGAGCAGTCATCTGGAGCCATACCTTTTGGTACAATGTTTGCTCTCTTCTGCCTCTGGTTCGGCATCTCAGTCCCACTAGTCTTTGTCGGTAGCTATCTGGGATACAAGAAGCCAGCAATAGAAGACCCGGTCAAAACAAACAAGATCCCAAGGCAAGTACCAGAGCAGCCATGGTACATGAAACCGGTCTTCTCCATACTAATAGGAGGCATTCTACCGTTTGGAGCAGTCTTCATCGAGCTCTTCTTCATCCTGACATCAATATGGCTTAACCAGTTCTACTACATCTTCGGTTTCCTCTTCATAGTGTTCTTAATCTTAATAGTCACCTGTGCAGAGATCACAGTGGTGCTCTGCTACTTCCAGCTTTGCAGCGAGGACTACAACTGGTGGTGGAGAGCTTACTTAACCGCAGGCTCATCTGCTTTCTACCTCTTCCTCTACTCGATCTTTTACTTCTTCACAAAGCTGGAGATAACAAAGCTAGTCTCGGGAATGCTCTACTTCGGGTACATGATCATCATCTCTTACGCTTTCTTCGTCCTAACTGGCACAATAGGTTTCTACGCTTGCTTCTGGTTCGTGAGAAAGATCTACTCGTCGGTGAAGATTGACTAGAACACAAGAACTGATATATTTGATCTACGCCACCAGCTTTGGAGATTTTGAGGTTGTTATTGTATGTTTGGGTGATTGTAGTAGCTGTTACAAAGTAAAAGAATCAGATCAACTTTTCTATATGTACCTTTTTTTCCTTCAATACCTGCACATTTCTACAGATGTTGGCTGAGTTTAATATTACATGCCTTTTGGCGATGTTTCACCACTAATCTCCACAGGAACATTTAGCTAACACATCCTTTCCCTTCTTGGATTCGTGCGATCAGTAGCGTGGAAGTAATGCAAGGTTTTCCTGGTACTTTTGAAGCAGCTTTATGCATCATCAATGCTTTAAGTTGTTTCCATCTTCCATCGTACAATGGAACCAGGAAGAAAGCAGATGCGCCTGTGCAAAGGTTGCCACACATATTCAACTTTTCTTGTTAACTTATTTACGGTCAGTTTGAAAAAAGTATCTGTTGTAACTTGCTTTTTTTTTTTCTTCCCTGTAGAAACCATCACATATCCAAAGAGAAAACTGAAAGAAAATTTGTAAGGAAATACTAATGAACTCGAAGACAGTGAATGTTTGACAAACAAAGGAACGTAACACCAACCAACAAAGAGGTGTACATTACCATTCTCCCTGAATTAGACAATCGAAAGAGCAAATAGGAACTCTAGGACTCATGTTTTTGTAATATTCATACTCAATATCCTTGTAGCCATCGTAGTAGATTGAACATGTGCAAAGGTTACCACATGCTTTGCAACGTTCTCGACTGTTACTACTGTTGCGGATAACTCCCGCAGATTTATATATATAATGTAGCTTGAACTTGGAACCAGGCTTCATAAAAAAAGAGGATTCAAATAAGCATTGAAGGTGGATAGTGGTGCAACACTCTTCACATGTGTAGAACCATTCCTTTTGGTCTAATAATTTTTCACACACCTCGCACCAGTAGACATCATCAGCGCTGCTGCTTTTTTCTTCGCCGTAGGAAAGGGTGAGTGGATGCTTGTCGTACTTGTAGTTTATTTCATCTGGAATGGTAGCACATGGATAACACAGAGCGTATTCACATTCCGGACACTCTACATGAGACCCTGAACATCTTTTCTTGTAACGTTTACAATCTTTGTTGCTATCGAATGTTGATATAAAAACGGGATGGTCATCATGACTTTTATGGGTGAAACACTCTGGAACCGAAACACATCGAACATCTATTTGTATAAACCTTTGACAATCCTCTTTAGAGCATATGTACTTGAAACCAGTGGATGTTCTGGAACAAGTTGAACAATACGTGTAGTTTGGGAGAGATGGGACTAAGATAAGAGTGTGATTGTGCAATGCATGATCCAGCTTTTTAGGTAGACCAGCACATACCTCGTGGAGAGAGTAATCATCGCATTCCTCACAATCATAGAATTGGTTGGAGACAATAGGATATACGCACGCTTCGCATAGCTTTTCTATGTCTACAACACCATCATGTTTCTTGATCTTCAAACGATGATGTTCGTGACAAAAATGCTTTATGTAACCATCACCAAGGTTCTTGAAAGGTGCGATATCCTCTTCGCGATCGGGCTCTTCTGGTTCCCATTCGAGCTCTTTTTTATCCCAAACAGTCTTATGTGTTGCACATTTGGAATGGGCTACATACACGCAACCCTCACCATCGCAAGAATATTGCCCAAACTTGACATCAACCTTTTTGTAGCAAATCCGGCATAAGGAACTCAGAGGTGAACGGTAAGGAATATAATGGAGACGGTGTGGGTGACGCGTGATCTTGATGACTCGGGGTAAGTCGATACAACTTTGATGAACCATGTAGTTACACTGGAAACAAGCATAGCTTGGTTCCAACGCGTTCACCAACCCACAAGCATCACATGGAACTAGTAATGGCCGGGGTAAGAAGATGAGCGAGTGGTGATGACCTTTGGGGTTTTTTATAGTAAGAGGTGGAAACGATTTCACACAAGAGAGATCCAAGCAAAAGCTACATATCAAACAACGATAGAACCAATCACCTTTTAAATCACTTCCACACCAATTGCATTCGTCGAATATGATATCAGATTTGGACGGAACAATATCGACAAACTTGTACTTCCCTTCATCAGATGTGTCGGGTTCTTGTTGAAATATGTCGGGCCCGTAAGGGTTGGCGTCGGGGATGATGTTGGATATGGTTCCGGATTCAGGGTCGCGATAGAAGAGAGTGAGAGGGTGTTGGAGGTGATAAGGATGTGTAATCCTCCTGGGACGCTTATGACAACTGTTGTGGAACTCCACATCGCAGGTTTCGCAGTAGAACCTGACATAATCTTCCTGCCTCACAGTGTATTTTCCGCCGCAGGTAAAGCAGCCGAGGGGAAGGACAGATTCGCAGTCCATGGACAAGTTATGCTGAGTGAAAGCTGGATGAGACAGAAGACATCTTGGTTCATCAGACATTTTCTTTTACTGGTTTGGTTGTGATGCCTATCTTTATGTATCTCTAAGTATTTATGGTATCAATTGATTTACTCAGCTTTTCTTATGATCGCATCTTGAGAAGTGAAATAACTGTTTAAAACAAAAATTTAATTAGATTAACAAGCAGCTCCACATGCCCTTGTTTTTTGAAACACACATGCCCATGTTAATAAACAATGACCAACTTTTACTTTTTATCGGCAGTACTAGCATAAAAAGACAGTATTATAAGAGTTTCTTTGCTATTAAAATACAACCCGAATAACGACAAGTGATAGATAACAGCTGTGATCAGTAACATACAAGTGTTTATTAGTTAATTAAGAGAGTACTATAGTTTAATATACAGTATATCATTAGATTAGACCAAAGAGTTGGCAGGACTAGATCTACTTCTCTTCATTTTCTTTCACGTCTCAGTCTACTACTCTTTGGTAACAAATCTAACAATATTGATTACAAAAAAAACGCGTTACAAGGATGATCGATCTTCTAGCCATTGCTTGTACTTAAAGATTTCCAAATTTTCACTTGAGTAAAAAGAAATATAACATTGATTACATGTGTGTTTCAAAGAAAAAAAACATTGATTACATGCCTTTTGTTTCACCAATAATCTCCACAGAAACATATTCCTATGACAATTTGATTGAGTCGGTTTTATGTACCACAAGGACACTACAGATGTGGGCTGAATTTTATGTTTCTTTCCTTTAAAAACATACACTGATAAGTCTTTCTGTTTTTTGTTTTTTTTTTTTGTTTTGGGTGGAAATCATTACATATCCAAAGAGTAAACAAAGCTGAAACACAATTTAAGGACAAGACTCTCGAAGAATTTCAAACTGACAGTGACTATTTGACAAATTAACACCAACCTTGAAAGAGGTATTTAATTACCATTTCTTCAAAGTTAGATAATGCAAAGAGCAAATAGGAACTCTTGAAACATTGCGGTAGTTGTAGCGAAAGACGTTCACTTTGTGAAAATGGCTATAGCCTTCGTAGTAGATGGGCCCTGTCCAAAGGTTGCGACACATATGGCAAGGCTTTCGAGTGTTACTACTGTTTCGCATAACTTCCACAAAAACTAAAAAGGTACTTGAATATGAAACCAGGCTTCAGAAAAAGATCGGATCCAAATAAGCATTGAAGGTGGATAGTGGTGCAACATTCATCGCATGTGTAGAACCATTCCTCTGGATCTAATAATTTTTCACACACCTCGCACCAGTAGACATCATCAGCGCCGATGTTTTCGCCGTAGGAAAGGGTAAGCGGATGCTTGTCGAACTTGTAGTGTAATATCACATGGATATCACAGAGCGAATCAGGGGCGGATGTAGTCAATGAGAAGGAGGTCATCTGACCCCACTATATTTTAAAAATGATTTATTTTTGTTTAAGAAAAATTGTATTGACCCCGTTAAAAAGGAAAATTTGACCCCACAAAAATAATTAGAATACATTTAAATCAAAAATAAATTTAATTATGTAACATTATGTTTAATTTATTTGTTTAACATTTTAATTTTAACTTAAAATTTAGCATAAATGTTTTTGATCTAAATTTTAGTTACATATTTGTGTTAAATCCAAATTTTATTTGGCCCAAATAATATACCAATGTCTACTTCGTAAATATCTATAAAGGCTTTGTATGTGTATGTTTCTATAAACGTGTATATTTAGCTAGATCTCTCTAAATTTTAGGATGGTTCTGGTTTTTTTTTAATTAAAAACTAATTTTTTTTGTTATACTCTGCTCCTTTGTATATATTATTTTATGAAAAAATATTTAGGATTTATTTTCATGATGTAAATATTTTCAATAGTTAGTTTTATGTTTAGAAATAGACTAATCCTTTAATTTATAAGATAGAAAATCTCTCATGTCAGTTCATTTGAATAGAAAATTTTCTTGAATGGGCGATAGTTTTTAAAATAGAAAAGAATCGTTAAAACATTACCAAACCTTGTTATGAAATCACATCACTAATCAGTGATCATTTCTAAGTGATTGTCGTATTTATATTTTATAAAAAATATGTTAAAATATAGTGAATGAAACTGTGATAAAAAAAAGTTTTAAGTTATGAGTGATTGTAGAGTATATTTGTATTTTTTACAGTTTATAATGTTTTAGAAAAAAAAATTCCGACCCCGGTACCAAAAATTTCTGGCTCCGCCATTGGAGCGAATTCACATTCCGCACACTCTACATGAGACCCTGAACATCTTTTCTTGCAACGTTTACAATCTTTGTTGCTATTGAAGGTTGATATGAAAACGAGATGGTCATCATCATGACTTTTATGGATGAAACACTCTGGAACCGAAACGCATCTAACATCTATGAAATAGTTTGGACCCCGTTTCCCATGATATTGATTGCTTATGTACCTGAAACCAGTGGTTACTCGGAAACAAACGCGACAAGCCATGTTTAAGTACTCTTTTTGAGGAGACGGTTCTAAGATTAGAGTCTGATGGTGCAATGCGTGAAGCGTGATCCAGCTTTTTAGGTAGACCAGCACATACCTCGTAGAGAGAGTAATCACATTCCTCGCAATCATAGAATTGGTAGGAGGAAATAGGATATACATATGCTTCACATAGCTTTTCTATGTCTACAACAACACCATTGTGCTTCTTGAACTTCAAAGTACAATGAGAGTGACAAGGATGTGTAATCCTCCTAGGAAACTCACCACAACCGATGTGGAACTCCACACCGCAGGTTGTGCAGTAGAACATGACATTACCTGGATTCCACACATTATATTTTTCGTCAAGCGGAGTGGGAGAGAAGCAGTCCATGGACAAGTTATGATGAGTGAGAGCTGGGTGGGAGAGAAGACATCTCAGGTCATCATATATTTTCTTTACTGGTTTGGTTGTGATACCTATCTGTCTGTATTTCTAAGTATTTATGCTCTTCTTTCATCATCTTCATCAGTTTATTTATTTGCTCTGCTTTCCTTATGATCGCATTTTTGAGAAGTGGAATAACTGTTACAAACAAAAGTTTAATTAGATTAATAAGCAGCTCCACCTACCCATGTTATTCTACAATCTCTATAATATTATTTGAGAAGTCAGTTTCATATGTGGCGCTCTTACGTTCACTCTCACGACGGTTGATTACAATGATACCCTTAATGAATTAAAATAGTTAAAAATAATATTATTAGTTCTTTTATTTATTTTCCTTCTCAAAATTTCCAAAAAATATATGTAATAAAAAGGAAATTAGTTATAAAGTCATAAAAACAAATTTCGTACGAAAATATATGTATATATAATATGATTTCATAAAAAAAACGGAAAGTTCACAAAATAGCAATAATACATTTAAAATAGTTTTTAAATAAAATCAAAATACACTTTTAGAGTAATAAAAATAGTTTATAATTAGTATTATTGAAATTTTTTATTTATTTTTCATATATTTAGTTGACTAAATATCTTTCAGTTACAGAAAATTATCTATAAATTATATTTCACTTACATAATATTATTTTCAAATACAATCACAATTTTGTGTAGTGCTTATTTTTAAGAGATATTAAAACCTAAAAATAATTTTAACAATGAACATCGTTTGATCAAATAATTAACAATTGGTTTATGTTTTTATGTTTTTATGTTTTATGTTTTATGTTTTATGTTTTATGTTTTATGTTTTATGTTTTATGTTTTATGTTTTATGTTTTATGTTTTATGTTTTATGTTTTATGTTTTATGTTTTATGTTTTATGTTTTATGTTTTATGTTTTATGTTTTATGTTTTATGTTTTATGTTTTATGTTTTATGTTTTTATGTTTTTATGTTTTTATGTTTGTGAAACTAAATATAACCATAATCAAAATATCAAAGCAAATCTAAATTCCCAATTTTAAGATTACTTAAAATAAATTTCAGTTTACATTCAATAAATCTAAAGTATAAAGTTATTTAGAATTTATAAATATATTAATTATTGTAAATATTGATATGTGTCCATGTGATTCTAAAAATGTATCAACTACTAGCATGTAACCTTTTATTGATCATAGGATAAGTGAAAAATATTAACAAATGAAAATAAATATTAACCAACTCTTACAATTTTAGTTCTTTTGTAAAATTTATATATATGCATGAGACTTTCGAACATTATCGTTATATTAATTTACGTATTTTGGAATTAGTTTAATTCATTCTAAGCACAATATATCTTAAGTTATATATAATTTTCCTAAAATATATTTATATGTCTAAGACAACACCCACTATATGAAAATAAGTAATTAATTAAAAATTAATATATTTTAAAATATTACAGTTGAATTAAGGCAATCCAATTTATCCAAATGATAATTAAATCAACCGTAAAAACAATAAAATCGACTAAATATAACATATATAAAATTATAGTATAATTAAAGTAATATAATATTATTAATATAAATGATGCATACAAATTATAAATTAATTTAAAATTAAAACTAAATAGTAACCAATTATTATCATATATTTACTTTTAAAATATTTATATCTGTGCATGAGCACGGGAAAATCACCTAGTATAACAATGACCAACATTGTTGGGTCGGCAGTAGCATACAAACTAGCATTTCCTTTGTTATTAATAACTCTATAAATTAATCATGTTGGGAGTACGGTATTTTATTAATTTATAGAGTTATTAATGTACAGAAAAAAATTTCTTATTTAGATTATTCTATTTTAAGATATATTATTTACTAAAATAAGAAAATTATTCGATTTTAGTGTATTTTGTTTTTCTTTGAAATTTGACATTTATAGTGCTTTTTATTATATTATTTGGTGTATATTTAAAAAAATATTGAATTTATATGTGGTTTTATATAAAGTTTTACTAAATCTCATAAAAACAAGTTTTAAGAAAAATATTTGATTTTAGTGTATATATATATATATATATATTTCTTTGAAATTTGACATTTATAGTGATTTTTATTATATTGTTTGGTGTATATTAAAAAAGTTATAGAATTTATATGCGGTTTTATATATAATTTTACTAAATCTCATCAAAAAATATTAGGTGTTAAGAAAATATAAAGACAATTCTATTGTGAATATAAAACAAAATCAGTTAAAAAGAATATAAAGCAAAAATATAATGATTAGTTTGTACTTATATAAATATGTATACATATAAATTATGAATTTATAATTTTAATGATACCATATGTTTACATAAGATTTTCTAAAAATTTATTATCTTATTTTTTACCGATTTGTGTCATAATTCGAATCGGTCTAATTTGAGATTGGAAAAATTAATTAATTTATAGTGTTTATTATTTTATCGAATATTATTTTATAGAGTTTCTACAGTATTGGATTTTTTTACTAATATATATATATATATATATATGTGTGTGTGTGTGTGCGTGTTTGAAGCCCTCTACGATGTCATATAGGCAAATGAATCAGGGCACTGTTAACTTTGTTAATAATCTATATATAATAGCAAACTGAAAGTGACATCAGCTTTTTTTTATAGGAAAAAAAAATTCAATCCAATGGTCATAGTTAATTTGATTTTAAGATCTAATGAACCAAAAAAACATTTTCATATGATTGATGATGTCATCAAATATTTGACAACTTTTCATTGAAAAGTCATATACAGCCACAATCATATTTGTCATACATTTTCATAAGTTTAAATATTAATATTGACTTTTTAGAAGATAATATTTGTATGATTCTAGAGGTACGAACGTGTCGTTCCCCAAGAGCTACAAATGTGTCGTGATCCAAGAGGTACGAATGTGTCGTGACTCAAGAGGTACGAATGTGTCGTGACCCAAGAGGTGCGAACGTGTCATGACCCAAGAGGTGCGAACGTATCGGAACCAAAATGGTGCGAACGTGTTGGGACCGAAAGAGTGCGAACGTATCGGGACCGAGAGGGGGCGAACATGTCGGTATCGAAAGAGTGCGAACGTGTCGGGACCGAAAGGGTGCGAATGTGTTGGGACCGAAAGGGTGCGAACGTATGCGGACCAAAAGGGTTCGAACGTGTCGGGACCGAAAGGGTGCGAATGTGTCGGGACCAAAAGGGTGCGAATGTGTCGGGACCAAAAGGGTGCGAACGTGTCGAGACCGAAAGGGTGCGAACAGTTCGGACCAAAAGGGTGCGAACGGTTCGGGACCGAAAGGGTGCGAACCGTTCGGGACCGAAAAGGTGCGAATGGTTCAGGACCGAAAGGGTGTGAATGGTTCGGGACCGAAAAGGTGCGAACGGTTCGGGACCGAAAGGGTGTGAACGGTTCGGGACCGAAAGGGTGCGAACGGTTCCGGACCGAAATTGTGCGAATGGTTCGGCTCCGAAAGGGTGCGAATGGTTTGGCACCGAAAGGGTGCGAATAGTTCGGCACCGAAAGGGTATGAATGGTTCGGCACCGAAAGAGTGCGAATGGTTCGGCACCGAAAGGGTGCGAATGGTTCGGGATCGAAAATGTGCGAATGTACCATCACCAAAAAGGTGCGAATGTAAAGTCACCGAAAATGTGCAAATGGAACGTCACCGAAAGGGTGCGAATGTAACATCACCAAAAGAGTGAGAATGTAACGTCACCAAGAAGGTGTGAATATAAACATCACCGAAAGGGTGCGAACATAATGTTACCAAAAGTGAACGAACATAATATCATTGATACTTATGGATGCAAGTCATTAGGGTTAAGGCCGAGCCATCATGAGTGGTAAACATATTTTTCATGGTCGGGTGCTATAGACTATGGTCCATGATATGGATCGATGGCTCAAAAAAAGTGTATATGAAACAGTTTTAAGGTTCTATTGTACCTTGTAATAAGCATAAAATGTATACATTTATATGTATGGTAATGAAAGCACATAGGCAATAACATCAAAAAAAATTTTTTTTTTGAAAAATGGAAAGACATGACTCCTGATAGTAAATACTACACACCTATAGAAATGAATATACAATCGAAGGTGTATCGTGTTACACAAATTATGGAACTACTTTATAAAGTTTGTATGCCAAATTTAAATGTAAACCATTTCTAAAATTAAATATAAAAATAATCAGAAAAGGTTAATTATTTATTTGCTTCCTTTAAAAGAAAAGACACTTTTAAGGATATTTAACAAATTATAAAATATATTTTTCAAAAATACTCCACCTTTCATTTTATTTGGCATTCACAACCTTTCACATTAATTGAGATTTTTATTAAGATACACAACTTTTCATTTTATTTGGCATCACAACCTTTAGAATTAATTGAGAATTTTATTAAGATACACAGCCTTTCATTTTATTTATTAAGAAACACAACTTTTCATTTTATTTTTTTAAAGAGACACAACTTTCCATTTTATTTTGCATTTACAACATCTCACATTAATTGGCATTTTATTAAGAATTACAACTTTTTATGTTATTTGGCATTCACAATCTTCGGAATTAATTGAGATTTTTATTAAGATACACAACTTTAGAATTAATTGGTAATTTTATTAAGACACACAACCTTTCATTTTATTTATTAAGAGACACAACTTTTCATATTATTTTATTAAGAGACACAACCTTTCATTATATTTATTAAGAGAAACAACTTTCTTATTTTACATTTACAACATTTCACATTAATTGATATTTTTATTAAGAGTCACAACCTTTCATCTTGATTGACATTCACAACTTTTCGAATTAATTGGGATTTTTTATTAAGATAAACAATTTTTATTTTATTTGACATTCACAACCTTTAGAATTAATTGTGATTTTTATTAAGAGACAACCTTTCATTTTATTTATTAAGAGACACAACTTTTCATTTTATTTTGTATTTTCAACCTTTCACACTAATAGACATTTTTATTAAGAGTATCAATTTTTCTTTTTATTTGTCATTCACAACCTTTGAAATTAATCAAGATTGTTGTAATTAGTAGATTTTTATTATGAGAAGACACAACTCCTATAACTATTTTAAATATTTTTAAATTATTTTTTCGGAGACTTAATTGTTTTTATAATGAAAAGATGCAATTTTTAAACTAATATATTTCAGTTTTTTTATGAAGAGATACAACCTTTCAAAAATTGATCTTATGAGAAGACAAAACTCTTACAACCTCTTTTAAATACTTTAAAACTATTTTTTCTGAGACACAAACTTTTTTTATAATGAAAAGATGCAATTTTAAAAATAATATAAATTTTTTTTATAAAAAGACACAATTACATTTATAATAAAAAGATGCAAATTTTAAACTAATATATTTCAGTTCTTATGAAAAGATACAACCTTTCAACAATTGTTTTGTTTTTCATCTAATGGTCCAAATAAAAAATTTATGCTACTTTTAAAATAATAGATTTTTTTTAAATACACAATTATTTTTATAATGAAAAGATGCAATGTTTAAACTAATATATTTCAGTTTTTTTTTTTATGAAAAGATACAACCTTTCAACAATTGTTATTATGAGAAGACACAATACTTATAACCTCTTTTAAATACTTTTAAACTATTTTATCTTAAACATAAACTTATTTAATAATGAATAAGATGCAACTTTTAAAATAATAGATAACTTTTTATGAAACTACACAATTCTATTTATAAGAAAAAGATGTAACTTTTAAACTAATATATTTCGGTTCTTATGAAAAGATGCAACCTTTCAACAATTGTTTTTTTTGAAAATACACAAGTATTTTTATAATGAAAGATGCAACTTTTAAACTAATATATTTCAGTTTATTATGAAAATATACAATTTTTCAACCATTGTTTTGTTTTTCATGCGATTGTCCTAAGAAGTGTTTTTTAGACATAAGATACTTATGGCATTAACATATTTTTTTTCAAACAACACCTCTTTTTACATGAAAGAGTCATATTTTTTCATATTTGAAGGATTACAATCTTTGGTTATAATTGTTTTTTTTTCTTCTATTGGTCTTAATAATTTTTTATACTTAAATTAAAATTGCTATGAGCAGTTATTTTTTTCAAACAACACATCTCTTTAATCTGAAGAGTCATACTGATCCCTAATTCTTGATTTTAAAATTTTTTTTTGAAAAGTTTCAATCTGGTGGTTGTAATTGTTATGGTTCTATCTAATGGTTCTGAAAATGTATTTGGTTGAACTTTTTTTTCCTCACAACTCTTGAAAATATTCATTTTAAAACAAAACACAACTCTTGATAATCTATCAATATACCTTTTCAGATTACTATAAATAGACCATTTTACAGATGTAATTTTTTTAAGAAAATTTATGGGTTTTTTTCTAATATAAGTATGATTCTTAGTACTCTTGAATATAATGTTTGATTCATTATATAGTTCTAAACGATCTTAAAAATTTAATTCGATGTCTGCAAAAAATAAATTAATAGGTTTAGTTTCAGTGAAACTAAACTACCATATCCAAACCAATCTGGCTATAAGAAAACAACCTATTTTTGTAGTCTCTTATTATTCTTCTGATAAAGTACATTCTTTTTATGTTTCTCTAACCCAGTTTGTCTAGAGTTACTGAGTCTCATTGTTTTAAAAAATGTCGTTCTTTGCATGTTAATTACAATGCTTTAAAACATATTATATTATTTAATCTTAAAAGTTATAAACTGTTCCATCAGTTCAACAAATTTTAAAAGTTTGTCTTCTCATATATAAAAAGATAAAACAAAATGACTGCGACTTTAATATTAAAGTTTACTTAATATTATTATGCTAAATACATAGCATTTAAATTTACACATTTTGAAACACAAATTATACTTTCACTCTTCTGTTATATAAGATTATTTTTAAATTTTGATCTTCATACAAAATAATTAGTTTATTAAATGATTCAAAATGATTAATTAACAAATATAAAATTATATAAAAATAACTTAGAAAAAAAAACATTCTCCTCTCCCGCGCGTAGACGCGTGGGGTTGTTTCCTAGTAATTTTAATGTTAAAAATAGTGTTCTCATCATCTCATGCAATGAATTTAGCTCTTTAACCATATGACTGATTAAAAGAGACTTTCAATTTTCATAAAATGCAATGATTTGATTTGGTTTAGAGTGATTTGTCCACATAGCATATGACACTGATGGTTACTTACAACTTGCAAGACCCAATTGGATACATGGTATGACACAACTCATGGTGTCGTGTTACCAAGAACCTTGACTAAATTGTAAATTCAATCACAAGTCGGATACTATATGGTTTTGTTTGTATTATTTTCTCCCCTAAAATCAAGCTCTTTCACGCAATCTCCGTAGCCAACTCTTATATTTCACCATTTACTTCACGTTGTCTTCAATCATTTGAAAGCTGAAACTTGAAACAAAGTAAACGTATGTATGTGGTTATTGTACATACATTCATAGCAAACCTACATTCATACACATTGTCCCCTCTTTCACTTCATCACTTGCCTTGTGATCCATGCGAAATGGAACCTCAAATCAATGACCTTCAGATTGAATCTCAGGTCCATGAGTTGCTCGATTTTCCGGTTTGTACAAATCAGATTTCTTCTACCATCTACCAGGTATGTATACAATATCATATTAGATACTAGAATGGTAAGACACTGTAACTAACACAAAACTTATTATAAGTGCTCCAATGACTACACCCGAGAGCTCAACAATGACAAGGAAAAACCGTATAATTGTCCCTACTCTGGATCCAAGTGTACAGTCACAGGAGATATTCAATGGCTGCTTCAGCATCTAAGGAATGATCATCATGTTGAAATGCATGATGGGCGATGTTTCAGTCATCGATATGTCCATCATAATCCTAAACATCTTCATCATGCTACTTGGATGTTAACTGTACGTTAAGATTACTTAATATTGTGTTACTTTTGCTCAGCTTTGTTAATTCTCTCACCCACACAAAACGATGCAGCTTTTGGATTGTTACGATCGACAATTCTGCTTATACTTTGAAGCATTCCACCTGAAGAAGACACCCATGTACATAGCTTTCATGCAGTTCATGGGAGATGAAGAGGAAGCGACGAGTTTCAGCTACACATTGGAGATCAATGGAAATGGCAGAAAGATGACATGGCAAGGCGTGCCTAGAAGCATTCGTGACAGTCACAAGACCGTCCGTGACAGCCAAGACGGCTTGATCATCACTCGCAAGTTGGCTTTGTTCTTCTCTAGCGATAATACCAACAGCAAGGAACTGAAGTTGAAGATTTCAGGTCGTGTATGGAGAGAACATTGAAGAATACAAGTCTATTTTGTTCTGAATCCTCCTTGTAATAGTGTTATACTTAACAACAAAATAACCTCTTAATACAATAATAAATATCAGTTTTAAGAGGGGAATGTCTAGTTAAATACGTGATTATGTCTCTCACTACTTTCACAACAGAAGCTTCTTACTCTCATTCTTCTAGTTTTATGATACAGTTCGGCCATAGCTTAATGATGCGAGGTAGAGATTCTTTCCCCATTTTTCCTGCGGAACAGGAGATAAAACAATGCACAAGATCTCAGGTATATTCATGGGAAGAGAGTTTTTAAGTAATCTTGACTCTACTCACCTTGACATGAGTGCTTGGGAATTGAGAGGTACGCAATGTCTCCTGCGTCTCATCGACCAGTCTACGCCGTGGGATGCTTAAAATTAGAGCAGCTTGATCCGTTGTTGCTGCTGTTGATGTTATTCTGAATCCACCATCCCAACGCCTGTGGATGCCTTCACTTGGATACAGAAAATCCAGTTCAACAACCTGCAGAGAGAGAGATAAAGCGGTGAATTTATGAACAAAAAAGATATCACATGAAGAACCATTGAAGTCCAACCTGTTCACTGTAGCCAGAATTGCGGGACATAACAACACCCCAACGGGTTCCAGCTGTTGCCATAGAGGTTACATGGAAGCCTTCTTTCCACTTCTTGTTTATCCACTTGAATGGGAATGAATCGCTTACTTTGTACGACTGCTGTGTATACGCCGTTCCTTCAGTTACCCCATTTTAAAACAAAACATCGAATAAGCCATCAATGATTTTCATACTAAAAGAGATCTAGCCATAGCAGATTCGGAGACTAATTAAAATTCCATTTATGTATAAAGTTTTCATGAAAGCAGGAAAAGTGTATTATACCTTTTGACATGACAACTAAGGAGCTTCCATTAGCTGCACCAGCAATAGAACTTATGTAGTAATTCTTCTCCCACTGTTCCATTATCCATTCCTGAAACAAAACAAAGTTTATTCTCACATAAGAACACAGACGTAAGAATAATTAATTAACAAAAAAAACATTGGACCAACCTTATGCAAGAAGACAGGAGAGAGTTCGTAGACTTGGTTTGTGAAGCCAGTTCCAGCATCCATTATCAATGCCCATAGATTTGAACATGATGAAACACAGCTTATTAACAAACTGTCTGCAATACCTCTCTCAATATGCTGCGCCAGTCTTGTATCAGCTACATTATAATGATACCTAGTTGCACAAGTAGAGTGTTAGTCCAAGATTGAGTTCACTACACACATTGAAGCCAAGAATCAAAGCACTATTTTAACTAAGAGAAGAAGCAGTTCTAGTCAGAAACTTTGATTACCCACTGGAGGCAGTGGACAGTTCAAAAGACATAACTGATGTTATAATTAACCATGAACTTTTTTTACCTCTGCTTCATTGGTTGCCTGGCATTGTAAATCGATATCCATTGCGTTGCAGGGACTCCAAGACGGACCTTTTTCCTAGGGGCATCTTCTTCTTCTTCTCCAATGCTCAACCTACCTCGCTTCTGTCCAACTTGAAAAATTATCTACCACAAAAAAAAAAACATACACAAGACGTCAAACAACTCCAAGGTGACACTTAATAGGAAAGAAAAGCATAGATGTACAGGATGAAAACATTACCTTTTGAGCACCCTCTGTGTTTATGGGCCTTATTGCCGGGTTTTCCCCCAAGAGCTCTTGAAACAGAGATACTAACTTCCCATAGTTGGGTTCCTCGTCAAATTTCATATTTACCACAATCTCAAGAAACTGCTTGAAAGGAGCGGGGCAGAAACAACAAAGCATATCCGGCGATGTTGCCATTTTCTTTTTGCAAACGAGGAATGATTTGTTATCTCCCTAAAATTGAGCAAGATAACGGATTAGCAGAGAAAGAAGCATGCTAACAACATTTTACAAAAACAAAAAAGATAGGTTTGCAGTACCTGATATCCTTGCCACGGCAATCTACCTCGGTGAAGGAAGATCAGTGTATATGCCAATGATTCAAGATCATCCCTTCTGCTAGCTGTTCTACCTAAGTGAGCATGTGCGCTTGCGTATCTAACTGTCCCCCTAAAAATTTAAGGAGAGATGTATTCAAGAAGAGCGTAAGAGGGAATACAGAAATCAGAGTAACAGTTGGAAAGTTCTTACCTAAACATATCAGGACGTTGATCATATTCAACATGTTGTCCGTTACCACCACCTTCTCTCCACTTTGTTGCTGAAAAGTTAGTTTATAAGATGAGAAATGTAAATAAGCACCTAAAAAAAACACACAGAAAGAGAATGTGATCAACCAACCTAGTCCCAAATCAACAAGAAACAGCTTTTTCTCTTGAGATGTTGAAGGCTGGCCGAGTAAGAAATTTTCTGGCTTAACATCACCATGCACATAACTGAAATAGAAGCAGATCATCATTTATTAGGCTAACTAACAAAGATAAAACATATTAACACAAAGATGCAAAGGCTCAAACAGATATAAGAAAGAACCTTGGTCAACCAAGATAAATAAAAAGAGAAAAAAATTCAAGCACAAACCCTTTAGCATGCAACTTTTCAAGGATGGACAGTGATTCAACTGCAATGCAAGCTACCATTTCTGAGGACATTCTGTTAAGAGAAAGGGAAAAGAATCGTTAGGTCAGTCCCACTTGATTTTTCTATGTGGCATTTCCAAGAAACCAAATGAATTTTTGATATTCATATATAGAAAACTACATTAGTTATCTATTAATGAAGAGACAAGAACTCTCTAAGGATGTGTGATGAATACTCACGCTTGCCCTGAAGTATTCCATATATCCCATAAACTCGGACCAAGCATGTCCATAACCTGAGGCCAAAACAAAAACAAAAAAGATCTACAATCAATGAAACTGACCAGATAAAATTAGAAAGTAGAGAAGTGAAAGGGAGGATCCAATACCATAACATAATAGTCTCCTTGCCTCCCTTTAAAATGTACTCTAGGGACTCCATGGCTCCCACCCAAGGTGCTGCTCACAAACAAAATAAAAAAGTAGATTGCACATTTCAGCTCAGGAATTTTACAAAAATAGTAAGAAAGAAGAGAGAACCAAACACCCACTTGTACACTTGCCACTCATGTGGAGGACCATAGTTACATCCCTTGCTGGTTCGATGCTCAAACTTCAAAGCAACCTATTAAGAAAAATAGAAATGTGAAACAATGTTAATACAATTACTCTAATAACAGGATCCAACCAAGCGAGAACGGTCTAATGGTTTTGAGGGAGCTTCGGCCCCAATACGGACCCGGGTTCCAATCCCGCTGGCCACTGGAGGTAAAATTTAAAATCTGGGCTCCCCAGCGTCCGGTGACCGAGGCGTCCGGCCAATAAGTTAGACTGATACGAACACTCGCCGCTAGTCCGGATCCGGGTGCCAGGATACACCAGGTTATTCAAAAAAAAAATAACAGGATCCTAACACAGACTGAGCTACATTACCTCCAAGATGCTAGCTCCAGCACTACGTTCATTACCACCACTAATACGCCGTCCAACAAACACTTGTCCAAACCCACCTTTCCCCAGCTTCCTCTCAACCTTATACAACGGTGACCCTCCAACTTGAACCTGATAAAGAGACAGAACAACCATTAACTATACATAAAAGATCAAAAATCATAGAGAGAAAAGCTTTACCCTTTCAGGGAAAGGAGCAGTGTTTCCTTCTTCTTCCTGAGCAGCCGCCGCCTTGTTAGAGCCACCACTATCATTCCCAATCGCCATAACTTCCCTCTCCTCCTCCTCCTCCTCCTTAACTTCCTCCTTCAACTTCCTCGCAGCTAGCCTCGTCCTCGGCCTCTCTGTAACTCTGCAAGCAACTCTTTTGCTCTGTTTCTTGTCTTTATTCTGCTGATTCAGAGCTGCAGCGTCGGTAACACGGCCACGGCGGACTCCACGGCGAAGCTCCGGCATAGCTCAAGCTCCATGCAATCGAGACGGGACAGGAAGAGTCTGATCATTATAGTCCGAGCGAAACGATGGTTTGGCTCATGTCCGTTTGAGATAGAACCGGAGATTGGTTTTTTTGGTGAGGAAGGTTTTTTGATTTATTGGGGAGAGATTAGGGTTTCGCCGGAGAGGTTGGTTGCGATGAAGAAGAGAGGAAAGGGTCTGTGTGGATGATGGAGAGAGGCGTCTGGGGAAAAAAGGGCGGTATTTATCCCACGTCACAGTATTATTATACAAGTACAAAGTCTCTCTTTTGTTTTGACTAAAAAACAAGACTGTCTTTCTGACAAAATAAATAAATGAAAATGAAATAAATTGTTTTATCTTTTTTTTTTAAAGTAAACCTAGTAATTAGAGAGGGAAAAAGTGTACTAAAACAAAGGTCCGTGACATGTGATGTGATTAATGCAAACAACCGTTCACGTTTTTGTTAAGAAATCAAAATTGTGATTATTGTTCTTAATATGAATATATCTGTTTATATTATTCTGAATATTTTTTCTTTCTTCAAGACAAAAATAGCTAAAACCTGTAAATATCGTATATTCATTTTGGCAGGAAATGTATATATATTAATTCTTCTTAGATAACAATATTATATGTGTGTATTAAGGTTTTGATTAGTTAGTGACTGGGCTAATCCTTCTATTTTGTTTGATATCATAAACCCAAGTAATGTAATCAATAATTATTTGATGATTTCAAATCATTTTTACATGGAGTATAGGCTTGTGTTCCACTTATTTTGAACCAAATGGCATGTTTCATGTAGAAAGAGCTAGTTCTTTTTTTTAGATGAATACCACTACAGTATTGAAATACTAGATGATACCAGCACGTATGCGCGAAAGTTTTTTATATTAATATTTGTTCAATTTTAACATTTTGTAACACTATAATCTTTATCAATTGTTAAATAACAAATATAAATGTTCGTCTTTTAAATATATCATATGTTTGGAAGTTTGGGATTCGCCAGTTTATGTTCGATTGATTCGGATTTTTCAAAATTTTCAGTATTATGCTCTTCAGTCTCATTCGAGTTTTACTAATTAGCAGATCGGATTTGGTTTGGTTTCTTGCGGATGTGGTTTAGATCGGATTGTAACCAAAATTTGAAATCGTCCAAAATTTTTTTTTTTTTTGAAACCTCAAAATTGAAAAATAAAAATGTCAAGATATTTAAATTATTCATAAATGTAATTTAAAATTAGTTAAACTATCTAAACTAACTAAAAGATATTAAAACTAAAAAATAAAACAAACTACAAAAATATTACTAATACAATAAAATATCTAAATTACCCTAACATATAAAAAGCATTAACATAATATACTAATTTCAGATATCTTCGGACCTAGTTTGAATTTGGTTCGGTTCGGATTATAACCAAATCCTAAAGTACGAAGATCCTAAGTCTTGTTTGGATAAATTATAATGCCTTGAGTATTATGGAGTAACAAATATTGGATGAATGATTCAAAAATATAGTTTTTATATTTTAGTGACTGTATTTGAATAGGTCCGTTTCCGGAGTTTGGAAAATGTAATCTTACTGGTCATCAGGGTCGGTACTTGACCAAACTAGATGAAACATTGGTTGGACCTTAGATTTTTTGAAAAAAAAATTATTATATAATATAGGTAGGCTCCAAAAAAAAATTCTTAGGTCCCCAACTCCTTAAAATAAATATTTGGTTTCTGCAAGATAAGCTGAAGAGGATGTTTGATCTCAACTGAAGTCTTTTCACATTCTTCATGGTCCTCGCCATTGCAATCAGTGCAGCGAAAATGTGTAACTTCTTTTGTGCAATTTCCACACACAAGATGTTTATATAGTAAACCCTTATTTCATTGTTGTATACCAAAAAAAAAACTCACAAACTAGCACCATTTGGTTTTCTTATACAGATCGAAGGATAGCTATAAGCCTATATAATGAGGACCCAAAAAAAACAACACAGAGAAAGCTAGGAAACTGGTTCAAGATAGGCTACATTCGATATTACTCTGATCGGCCATGCGGGGAAGAGCTTGCAGCTCGGGGAAGACCGTTCGAACTATCAGCTCCAGTATTGCAATAGCTAGTTGCTTTATGCATATGTTTGACTGCGATCCAATAATTTATGTGTCAAGTATTAGTCAGACCAAAATGATGCATGGCTCAGCCTAATGGAAACCCTTTTACTCTGAAAGTAAATGGAGACTAACCTGAGTGAAATACAAGATGTCTCTAGGGCATGCCATGTGCAGAATTTCCTTTACAAATCTCACTAAAGTCTTTGGGGCCGTATCTGATCAAACACCAAATTGCCGGCCACTTCCAATGAGGCTACTAATTCAATATAAAAGTCAATTTGAGAGGAGCCTAAGAAACTTACCGAAAAAGAATTTCTTGATTTGAATAGCGACAGCCTCGAGTTGCTGCTCAAAGGAACTGGGTTCAACCACCTTCTCGCCACCAAGTTGGCCTGCCATTTGGAAAGTTTCTTCACTAGGGTCAGTCTGATCCAATGCCTCTTCACCGTCATCCACGCCTTTTGGCCATAAAATCTGTAGAAATTTCAAATAAGATTATCAGCAACTCAGAGAGACAGAAACAGTGAAGTTTGCAGTTGTGCCTTCTACACAAAGATCAAACATGCGGTCGGATCTAGAAGCGGATAATGATGCAGTTGACTTCCACACAAGGTTAGGGAAAAACTTAATTCTTACATCTTGAGCCCAACGTATTCCATGAGCTACTTTGTCTTCATTCCACAGACAATAGATTCCCATAAGAAGCCAGCCATCCACAGCATCTTCCATAGTGAACACAAAAAAATTCTTCGATAGCTCGAAAGCTTGCCTCCTACAGTAACACCATATCAAGATTATTCGAAAACGTCATGTTATAAACGGGACCTAGTAAAAAAAAAAAGTGGAAAGCATGATCAACAACAGATAAATACTTTGTCTCACCTTAACCAACATCCTTTATTTAGCTGAAACACTTTATCAACTAGGTTCAAAATCGGCACACTGATGACATTGGCCTGTAATAAAAAGCAGAGGATAAGTATTCCACTATAAAAATTAGAAGACGCCAAAAAGATCCATCGTGTAATGATGTCTCTTTGGTAATATGTCTCACTAAGCCAATAGATAAACGTTTTCATTACCGATGAAGACTCTCCAAAAGAATAATTCTACAGAACCAAAAACGATAATCGTTAGATCATCAATCTAAATGAAAATGGAAAGCAACAAAATTTCACATATAGTCAGATCCTTACTTTTGAGAACTCACTTAGAAAATCCCAAACTTCATGCTGTTCAGCAAAATTAGCTATAGACAAGAGATCCTGAAGACAAGAGAAAATGCCCTTATAAGAAAATGTTGATGGTGAAAATGTTGATTATAAATGTTGATAGTAAATATGTTTTTTTTTTTTAAATGTGTTTCAGAAAGAAAAAAATGTTGATGGTAAATATGTTTTAAAAAAAAAAAAAAAAAAAGTTGCTTAGGAACCAAACAATACTTGTAAATAGTTTTCCAGCTGAATACAGTGGCAATGAACAAAAGAAGTGGTTGAGGAGAATATAGGCTTGGGTAACAGTAAATTGTAGTTCGGGTTCTCTTTCAATTGGTGATGCAATTGCTCAAAATTACTGTATCTGCAGGGAAGAAAACAAATACTTTACGATCATGAGCAATGAAGTCCAATGATGCACTGATATAGTGATATGATTATATTGCTGACCTTCTCTTAATGCACCAAGTATTGTTTTCAGTATCTATCACCGCAATAGAATATATTGCAAATGATTCTGAGGACCGATTCTCAGAACAATCTGCAAGAACCTGGAGCCACAAAGACGTACGATAAAGCACACAAAATTAGAGAAATAGTGACCATAAATTAAATGAACATAATAAAATTACAAAACAGAAAATGTACGTTGTTCAAGTGCATGTCTGTCACACAAAATTAGAGCTTACCCGAAATTTAAGCTTTAGGCAATGCTGACTCTCTATATGGAGAGCCTTTCTCCTTTGAGTCGCGACCTCTGGCATCTGAGCCCAATCACTAGAGTCCTCCTGTTCAGGGTTACTTTCATCTTCTGTGGATGGTGTCGTCTTCTGCTCATTAACTTTTGTCAAATTAATGTTTTTTGCTTGATTATCGGAGGCTGACGACTTGGCATGGTTAACACTCTGTTCTTCCCGTAAAAACTGCTTAGTACATACATTGATATGCCTGGGGAAAAATGGAAACTTATTACATAAACTGTTCCTGGCTCCTAGCTAGTTTGCATTATACCCCAAATAAAATACAGTTTTATGGAAAGACAGATAGGTAAAAGATAACTTACTCAGGGGATGCAAAATCCACAAGAGGTTGAACTACCAAGCTAGTCAAGATATCTCTCGCTATTGTTCGAACAAGAGGGCACTGATATTCTTGTGGTCTGAGAAGAAGAGATAATATGCTGCTAACTATTTCCGGAAGAACCTGTTAGAAAAAAAAAAAGAAAAAAAAAGTGAACTAATTTAGGAAGGAACCTAGTTAGTTTTAGTCTGAAATATCCCTCATACCTTGTACACACTTTCTTTTGACACGAGTACAGTATAAAGCTCCCCAGAAGCCATAAGACGACCCTTCAACATTTTATCTCTTTCCCCAGATGACAATGTCTTCATTAAATCAGTACCTACAGCAGCTTGGTTTCTTCTAAAACTATCCAGATGATCACCCATCAGATCAACTATATCCCTGCACAAATTAAGCATCGATTTCATCATCCATCCAATTCTAAATAGTAACTCAAGTACGGTACCTGATTAGGCCGACAATATTTATCTTTTTTACCCTCGCCGAAATTTCACCAAGTGCATTCATGATCACTCCACGGATTAGTTCGGGGAACTCTTTATCTGGAGTGATCTTTGAGTACCATGAGTTAACGTTATCATCAATGATCTTGTCAACAAAATCATTGATCGCAACTTCCACTACAGGTGAGTATATCTTCTTCTTCCACCTTGGACTAGGAGGTGGGGTAGTGGAAAGACGAGGATCGTCAAAGGACAGCTGCTTCCTGCCGCGATAATACAAATGGCTCTGTCTTGGATCTGGCATACCTCTCGATCTGAACTCTTTCGGAGTCAAGAGAATTTGAAGACTGCAAAGAATGACAACTGCCATTGGCAAATTCATCCACATACTTGCATCTGCATCATGAGAGCACAAACATTATGTTGTTAACAACGCCGAGTAACAATATGAAACAAGAGTAAACAAATACTTCATGTATCGGACAAGGTTTCTTTTATTACAAACTGATCTTAAAGTCATTCCTAATTCAAGAGGGTAGGCGTAATTACATATCAATGAAGACTATTAATTACATAATCTCTTGTCAGAAACTAGAAAGTATGAGGAAAGGTTCGAGAGTAACAAACGGGTCAAAAAGTATGTGAGGAAGAAGATACATAAGGCCCACCGTGCGGTCCGTACTTTGGATTCCTCGATCAGATCATTTATAGTAGTCTCCATCATAGCCATCGTTGGACCAATCCAATTCTTGAGGAAGTTCGATCCAACTTTAGCTTTTTTTTTCCAAAAAAGCTAGCTGTCCCTTATGATGAAGAAACAGAGGTATGTGCGTGTGTTGCAGCAGCAGATACACAAGAAAAGTCGCTTAGAGGAAGTTGGAAACTCTGTGGGAGGGAGGCTATCTATTTATATACATTTCAGTCTTCTCGAAAGTCGTTTCAATAATGGTGCTGAATATTTATGAATCCCCCATTTGTGGAGGATATCGAATGATCAATTAATATCTTCATCCTCTAATCTTATTCTCTCTTTCTTCCTCGTCATCAATTCTACGTAAGCTTCATTACGTAAACGACATTCCGGACCAGGCGCAAAGTCCACAGTGCCGTGCGAGTGTTTCTAGAAACCTAAGGCAAGTTTTAAAAACAAGTCTGATCCCTAATTACTAGATTCTAACCGCGATTTAACAATATATCTAATTTACAAAATTAATTTATTTTTAAAAAAATTATAAGTAAAGTTTTAACCTTTTAGTTTTAGTATATTTGAAAACTCTATAATGATATTTTGTCATTATATCAAATATGAAAATTATATATTACTTTAAAAAATATATTTCAACTTCTTTGTTATAAATATTTAATAAAATCTCAGCAATTGTTTTGATTAATTGTGTGGTATATACTTATTTGATAAATATTAAATTATAAAATTTATTTTATGTCAATTTATTGAATCTATTATTTTATTTGTATTAAACGTATTCAATGTAAATTTAAACTAAGCATCGCCTCGCATTAATAAGCATATGCTCTTAAGAATAAAAGCAATTTAATTAAAATAATCTAATAAGAAAACTTTATTAGGTTTAAATGATTTTTAATGAAAATATAAATCCATTAATATAATTATATTTTATATTAAATAAAATCATTTTTCAGGATCTAAACCCGAAAAAAAATTATTTACTTTTAATTGTTTCATAAATGAATTGAAAGTTTTAGTCAAATCATTAAAAATTAGATAACAAAAAAAGTTATTAGAAATGTATGAATTTTTTTTTTTTTTTTGGATGCAAGATTAATTATTGTATTATTTGGAAACACATTTAGTAGTAGTATATGAGAGGAAGTATTAATTAATTTGGGTGAATTTATAGATGAATTTATAGAAAAATAGTTATACTTATTTTTGAATTCTTTTTATAGATGAAGTGAGTGTTTTAGCCAAATTATTGTAAATGAGAATAAAAAAGCTATTAAAAATCTATGACCTAATGTATTATATTTTTGGATACAAAATTAATTATTGTATTGTTTGGAAACATATTTAGTATACGAGATGGGGTGTTAATTAATTTGGATGATTTTAACTATATAATAGAAGGGTGTATTTAATTTAAAGTTTACAAAACAAATTGTGTCCATCAGAAAGATTTTGTTTTAATAAGAAAGATTAGTTTTTAAAAAACAGAAAAATGAAAAAAAAATGACTAGAATAGCACTAAAATTTTTTTTGTCACAAATATAGCAAATAAGAATGACCAAATAGCATTTAATGTTTTATCAAAAGAGATAAATATACACATATATTTCAATGATAAATTAATTTAGATATTAGGGTTTAGAGTTAAGGAGTGAGATTTAGGGTTTATGGTTTAGGATTTAGATTTTAGGGTTTAGGGTTTAGAATTTAGGTTTTAGGGTTTAGATTTGGGGAGTGGAGTTTTGAGGATAAGATTTCAATTTTCTAAAAATAAAATTTTAAAAAAAAATTCAAAAAACAAAATGCTATTTTAGTCATTTTAGTTTTTGAATGCTATTTTTGTGACGTAAACTTAGAAAGATGTTATTTTAGAGATTTGCCAAAAAAAAGAACCATTGTATATAAATTATATACCATTACCAACAAAAAAAAAAGAGAGATGAAAGAAATATCAGTGTGTAAGAAAACGGAATGGTGACATCTCTTATAATATTTGAGATATATTATACTATTTGAACTATGATATGTATCATTATTAGAATGATTTTTAGAATTATAAGAGAAAGAAATTGGTATCTATAACTATATACTATACTTATAATTAAATGAACTATAAAATTATTTATCAATGTACAAAATTTGTTTTTGCCTTAAATAAAATATATAGAATTATCTAAAATAAGTTAAGCATTTTTTTTTAATTTTATATTACTAAAATAAGTTAAGCAATCATATTAACAATATAGATATTATGTATACTCTAGCATTTTTGTTTAATTTTATATTACTGAAATAAGTTAAGCAATCATATTAACAATATAATAAAAATTAGATTTTTCGTATATGTTGTATCTAAATTTTTTAAAATTTTGGAAATCCCACATTGAAAACCTGGTGATCAAATGTTTAATATTTTTTTTTTGTTATAACAAGACAAAAATGATCATAAAATCATATGAATAGAAAATCTCATTTAATAGATATTCAGATTATTTAATACATAAATATTTTAATTTGAAAATTTACTTGAAGAATTATTGAGAACTTAATATTTTAATTTTAAAATTTTCATTTAATGTTTTGAAAAAATGTAAATTACTAAAATTATTAAAAGTCTCGCACTGAAATTTCTTTATCGATGATTTAAAATTTGTATTATAAAAAGATACAAATGATCAAAAAACCATATACGTAAGAAGCCTCATTAAATGGATAATCATTTTAAAATTATATTGCATATCTATTTTAATATTATTTAAGTTTAATTATATACCATATAAAATAAATAAAAATGATTGTTTAGATTTAGTTATCATAAAATAATGTAAATAAATAAGAGTAATTATTTTAATTTATGTGCTCGCGTCAATTTAGTTATATATGTAATTGTTAATAATTTTACAACTATTTAACATATATTTATTATTTTATTTCATATTAAATAAAAGAACTAAAAATCAATAACAGACTTAAATATAATTTGTAAACATGCTCATTTCTTGCAAGATTCATGTTTTAATCTAGTGGAAAGTAAACAAAACAATGACAACTAGATCATGACCCGCGGGTTTTGTTTTTACTTAAACAAATTATATATGTATTTTATATTGTTTGGTTTTTTATAGTTTTAAGTTTGTTCATATTTATTTTATGTGACTAAACAACATGATTAAAATTATTTTTTGTATTAATAGTTTACATAGGTGTATTATAGATATATGTTCGGTGAAAACATTAAGTTGGTTATCTGAATCCAAACCCGCAAAAATCTGAAAATGAACCCGTACCAAAATTTATAAATATTCAAATGGAGATGAAATTTTAATATGAAAAAACTTGAAACCTGAATAGACTCGAACCAAACTCGGATGGTTCTTGAGTGTCCACCCATAGTTTAAAGTTTAAAGTTTTTCGTACAATGAATATGGACAATGAAAGTGTAGAGTTGGTCAATTTCCTAGTATTAAATTTATAGTATTGAAATAACATTGGTTAATAGTATTTATAGTATCGATATAAGTATTAATAGATGTAGGCTAACGAATTATCTGCAAATAATCTAATCTGAAAATTTGTCTCGCGCTTTGAAAGCGCGGATCAAAATCTAATCTATACTATTAAAACTAAAGTACATTTTAAAACATCCCCTTAATATTACAAAAATATTATATCATATGCCACTGAAGAATATTCTGCAAATAAAAAGGAACATTTAAAAAAAAAAAGTAAATATTTTTGAATTGATATATTGTTACCATATCTTTCAAACCGCAAGATAAAAGGATGGGGCCCAATATTTATGTAGCTCACAAATAAATATATGATTTTCGATTTGTAAACTTGAATAATATTTTGTTCATAAAATAAGGGCATTACTTTGAAAAAAATACAAAGTCAATTAATTGGTGGGTTATTCTATCTTTTCTTAGAATACAAAGTCAATTAATTGGTGGGTTATTCTATCTTTTCTTAGATATCCCTTGCAGTTAAATTAAAATAAGTCCATAAAAATAAAATAACAGATAAACTAAAATATTAAAATCAATAATAAATTAAATAAGTTTATGATGATAGAATTACAAGAATTACAAATTAGTCATTTTAGTAGATTATTCATTTTAACAAATACAATATAATTTTTTTATTAAAAAGGCATGACGAGTATGTTACATATCGGGTTGAGAAATTTCAAATCAAAAATAATTATTACTTCATATAACGTCAAAAGAATTGAATACAATCTATCTAATGAAAACATTGAAATTAATCTTTTGTAACACCATTTAAATTAACTTTTACATAAATAAAAAACAATTTAAATCAGACTGGATTACATATCGATTATACATTGATTCAACTTGTTATTTTTTAGGTTTTAACGGTTTTGTGGGGTTTATGAGGTATTTAAATAATGGGATATTTGTTAAAATTAAAACCAGATTACATATTGGATCACCGAGTTTACCGGTTCGATCAAATACAAATCATGGGTTCATCGGGTTTATCACATGTGCGAATCGGATTATAAGCTCTGATTTTAAAATGTTATAAATACATCAAATATTTTAAAATTAATAAAACATAAAATATCGCGTTCTTTTAAAGCGCGGATCAAAATATAGTACATGTGTATTAAAGTAGCAAAAATGTTTTAATTATCATAATTCTTATTAGATAAAAAAATGCATGTGTATTAAAGCTTTGATTAGTTAGTGATTGACCATCATTCTATTTGTTTAGTATTACAAACTCGAGTAATGTTAATCACAATTATATTGATGATTTTCAGATCATTTTTTAATATGGAGTATAGGCATTAGTGCCACCTATTTTGATACAATTGGTATGTTTCATGCAGAAACAGCTATTTTTTATTTATTTCATTGTGAAATCAAACCATTACAATATTTAGTTACGCTTTATTGAAACACAATAACAACCCTCACATAAACGATCAGACATACAACAAGGCATGCAACAAACCCAAACAACAACACTCGCTTAATGCAAATGTTACAATGCAACCATAATTATATCAGTAGTGCACGACATAACAGTTGTACTCAACTGTGGCCTCACCTGTCTTGGAGTCAAACGACTTGGTCCTTACCTTGACATAACCACTAGCGAATCGGAACATTCCACTTCCCCCGACCACCGGCATTTCCCTAACCTTCGAGAATACAGTGTTTCGACCAAGAACCGAGATCGTACTCCCATTGTATTTCCCTGTACTGAAAGCAAAATTCAGCACCATCAAGAAGCCAATCTCTCCTTGGGACGCTCCGGCATAGATCCCTTGGGCATGTCCCACCACGGTCGAATTCTTTGGCTCATCTGTTGTTAAAGGGTCGTCCGTCATGGTGATCGATCCGAATAAGGAGGAGTTCGAGACCGGCTGTTGGATCATGACGGAGCTAGGGTTTCGACCCTTTGTTGAGTCATGCCAATAGAAATGGAGATGGGTGAGCTTCTCCTCTTTTTTGAAGGCCGGATGTTTTTGGTACGTAGTTCTTGCGAAGTCTCCACCATCTCCAGCGGAAGCAACTCCGGCTAGGAGGAGGATTTGTGCAGAGAGGATAATGATGAGCTTTGTCATGTTTGTGGCTATTTGCATATGTACATGAACTTTTGTTGTAATATTTGACGAGGGAGTCATGTGTGTGTTGTGTATATATAGAAGAAGGCGTGTGGCGTTCATCCGAGAAAAAAATATTGGTTTATACTATCACTGGTTGTTTGCTAGATTGAGGTGGTAATATAAGTTTGTTGGAGTGTTTGATACGTAATTTGATGATTAGCACTTGTATATAAACACTAATTTGTAATTCTGTACATTACTAGTGAGAGACACATTATAACACGTAGTCCTTGAGCTTAATATATCAATTGGACTGGTGGACACTTATGAATAATTAGACGTTAGAATCACAACAACTGCGAGATTTGTTGGATTGTTTGTGGAGTATGAAACCAGTTGATGTACGCTCCCTCGTACTGACACGACAGTTGATTCCAATAAGAGTATATTTTGACGGATGGCGACTAAGAAAATTTTAATATTTGCCAACAAACAAATCTAGGGCATTTTCGCTGGATATGATTTGATGATCCGAAAATTTTGAATATCTATAAGCCTTTTAAGTAAAGCAAATATTAAAAATTAATATTCATTAAAAATAAAGTAAATCACAAATACTAAACAATTTAGATGTGGATATCGATCTGCTCCGGATTTTATACAAATAGATGTACATCTACAATTAAATGTAACTATTTTTTGACCCGCGCGCCCACACGGATATATGTTCGATGTAATTATATATTTTTCATAGTTTTAAAAACTTTCATATTATTGTTTCATATGTTATTGAACTTTTATTTTGGTGTATCTTGTTTATTTTGTGTAGTATACATTTATAAATTATGAAGATTTATTCTTCTTTATTGTATTTTTTTCTTTGTTTTGGTAAACTAAACATAAAATGTATAATATTAGAGTATGTAGTTGAGGTTTAATAGTTTTATTAAATAAGAAAATTTAAAATTTGTGATGTATATATTTTTCTTAATACTTTTATATATCTTTAAATATAAAAACTTAGTTATATAACTAAGCTTATTCTACTAATGGAAAGATATACCAAGCTTTTTTTTTCTTTTGCCTGACTGATATGGTAATTGTTAAGATGAATGCTTAAATATAGAAATGGATAGTCGAAGGTAAGATAGTTTAGATAAATATTTAATATTTTACGTGATTTGCAAGATTATAAACAAAAAAAAAAGGATTTTGTATTTGTTATGAGGATTGCTTAAAGATAGGAAAATATTGTGTAAGGTAATTCTTTTAGGAAAACAATAAATGGTTTGTTTTGAGTTTGAATTTTAAAAATTTATTGTGAAAAAATCATATTGTTTAGGTAATTTTTTATGTTGAATAAGATGATTTCAAATAATACTGATATGACATATATTTGTATATACCTAATACTTTTGTTTCTGCAGACACAAAACTGGAATTTTGATGCGATGAATGACATAAATTAAATTTGATGTTTTATAAATGATAAACAATGGAGTGTAGGTGTAAGCAGCAATTGTAATTTAATTGTTTTGTAATGTAGAAGTTTAGTAATGAATAAATTGTTTTAGTTAATGTATAGAATGATATGGGTTAGGATGTGGTGGGATGTGGCTTAACGAAGTGGTAGAATGTGGGTTAGTAATGGTTTTGTAATTACATAGTATAATAATCAACCAAACATAACGGTATAATATGTCGGTTTAGAAAAGAAGAAAAACAATGAGTTTTATCTCAATGACACAACTTGGTAATTTTTAAGGAAAACTAAGGGTTATTTCTTTTTTGTACTTCCCCTTTAATAGTTTAGATATTTAAATGTATGATTTTCTATAATTATTATTTTAGCATATAATTTTGTTATTTATAAAATTCATATAAGGTATTAAATTAAGAAAGAAATATGAAATCATTATAACAACTACAAATTTCTAAAATTTTGTGTTTTTATCAAAAATTATGTTTCATTATAAAATATTATGAAACATATAGTCTCACTATTTTCGCTTCTGGTTTAATATCAGATAAAAAATATCTTTTAAAAACAAATATGTATATTTTTAGATTTACTTGTATTAAAGAAATTGTATAAGATATCTGTAAATATTCACAAGTATCTTAAATTTTTCCGTATATCCAGAAAATCAGATATTTGTATTTCTCTGAAGTAAAGTAAAATAGAAAATCAGATATCCGTAAGAACGAAACAAATAACAAATATCAAACATTATGATATTATTTGATATGTGCCCATCCCTAGCTTGCCCTAGCTGTAACGGGTAATTAGTAACAAAATAGATGGAAAACTAATTATTAGTAGAATTTAATGAAATATAATTAGTATTCCCTTATTTTTTAAAATGGAATCCTTTTTCAAAACTAAGCTTTTTCTTGAATAATATAGGATGATATAGAATGAATTGAAACCCAATCCATCTTTTCATTTTAACCAGTAAATATTATGAAGAATGTAAATAAATTAACCATTCACGATATTTTATTCCATAAAAACATTTCAGTTATACCTTTAATAATTGTTGAAAATTAGTTTGAAAGAAAAAAATATTTGTTGAAAAGCTATCATATACCAAACTTAAATGTAATTGAGTGTATAATACCAGAAGATTTTGGATCCAACCTCTAAACCGCAACATATATCTGATGTCTAAGATTTTACCTTATGGTAATTTTCTACTTGAGCTCTAGTGCCATATACGTTTTTACGTATCAAAATATCACCTCAATAAAAGTAATATCAAAAACTTCAAACAGACATAAATAGCCCCGTAACAATCATCCATCACTCAAACCGACATAAGTCAACAAATCAGGACCCCAAACATAGCAATTTAAAATAAAATTTATAAAAAGAGAGACAACATACAATCATCATATCGTCAATAATGCAAGACGTAACAGCTGTACTCAACAGTAGCATCTCCTGTCTTTAAATCCAACCACTTAGTCCTAGCCTCAACATAACCTCTAGCGAACCGGAACAGTCCACTTCCTCCAATCACCGGCATCTCCCTAACCTTCGTGAACACAGCGTTTCGACCAAGAATCGAGATCGTACTTCCGTTATACTTACCTGTCTTGAACGCGAAGTTCATCACCATAAGCGCAGACCCCTCGTGTTGGCCCACACCAGCGTACATCCCTTGAGCCTGGCCTACCAAAGTCGAGTTAACCGAGACCTCCGTGGTTAAACGGTTATCGATCATAGTGACCGCTCCGAAGAAGGATGAGTTTGAGAGAGGAGGTCGGAGTATGACCGAGCTAGGGTTTGAACCACTTTGGATGTCATGCCAGTAGACACGGAAGAAAGTGAGTTTCTCTTTACGGAGACCGAAGTGTTTCCGGTTAATGTTTTTTGCAAAGTATTGGCCTTTTCCGGCGGAGACAACAGCTGCGAGAAGGAGGACTAGGGAGGTGATTACGAGGATGGGGTTTGCCATTTGTGTAGACTGTGGTATGCGTTTGATGTCTCGTTGATGGTGTGTGTATTTGTATTATATAGACTATAGAGTAAATGAAGATGGCTTCTGTATATTCTAATTTATTTGCCACAAGAAAACATGGGTCAATATTTGAATTTTTATTTGCGCCATAAGTCGTATTCGCTGGGCGGATAAAAGTTAAAAGTGAAGAAAAGTCTTACATTCACTTTATTCCTATCGAACTGATCATACAATAACATTTACGATATACTCCCTGAGCTAATGGAAAATTTTAGTGTTTTCATTCTACTCCTACACTAAATGTTAATTTATCTCAACATGAAATTGTTTTGAGCAATTTGCCATAATAAATTGAATCTCTGTTTACCAACTTTATAACGTGACACTGTGGCAGTATGGTTGCTGAATATATTTTGGGTCACCGATGTGTCGACCTTTTCCTTTCGTTATAGTCTACGCCTACGCGGGGCGAGTTCATACTCCGAAGACTTTTTTATAAGGGGTTTTACCCCTCAGCTAAATCGTAAAGAAAACCATCAACTAAAGATTCAGTGAAATAAACCCTTAATTTTAGTTTTGTTAATGTCTGTAACTCTCCGTCTCAGAGTTATAGACGGATGGTGACATATATTAATAGAACTAAAGTTGAGGTTTTATTTCACTAAATTTTTAGTTGAGGGTTTTTGTTATGGTTCATCTTTAGTTGAGAGCTTTTATTAAATACGATTAAATATTTTTAAATATTAATTATCATTTATTCATTATTTAAGAATCTTAAAATTGATTTATAAACATTTAAAATAATTTATATTTTCTATATATTACTTTATCAATTTTATAACCTATTTATAAAGTTTTCTCATTTAATACTTTTTACAAATTATTATTAAGGTTCAATGATGATTTTATAAGATTAAAGATGTGATTATTTGTCATACTACAAAAACATGAGGTAAATAAATAAAACCAGAAAAGCTTATTATTTAATATAGTAAGAGTATAACATATTGGTTCAGAAATCTAAAAGAAAAAAATAATCCTACATTATTTCTTCTAAAATAGAAAAAAGAACGAATCAAATTGAAATTTTGTAAGAAGAAGAAAAAAGTCATTGCCATATTTTAAGTAATAATGTTGAATTTCTAAACTAACTAAATATACTCAACACTACCTACAATTTTATATAACTTCAAAATTTTAATTATTTGATATTTGACAGTATTAATATAAGAAAATTGTATGTGTTGCCTCCTTTATAAAGATTTATCGCTTTATTTCATAATATCAAGAAAATCATGTATTATTCCATCCTAAGAAATAGTAGACAAAAGTTTATAAAATCATCGTTAGACCATATTAATAGTTTATAAAAATATTAAAATATTTACTAAGCTTTATAATAAGTTAAAAATAATAAAGTAATATATAGAAAATTATAAATTATTTTAAATGTTTATAAATCAATTGTAAGATTCTTAAATAATAAATAAATGATAACAAATATTTAAAAATATTTAACCGTATTTAATAATAAAACCTCTTTACTAAAGATAGATCGTAATAAAAATATCAATTAAAGGTTTAATGAAACAAACCTTCAACTTTAATTATGTTAACATATGTCACCCTCCGTTTAAAATTCTGTGACGGAGGGTGATAGACATTAACGGAACTAAAGTTGAGGGTTTTGTTTCATTAAATCTTTAATTGAGGTTTATTTTATGATTCATCTTTAATTGAGGGATTTTATTACTAAAAACTCTTTTTATAATCAACCCGTGATTATAGATTTGCTGCAGGTTTGGTGGTCATTGACTCATTGTCAAAGTGTTTTGGTGTAGTTTTGGTTGGTGTCGCTCTGTCAGTTGTGAAACGTTGACATCCCTCGATACACAAATCTAAATTAATAATTATCAACTTCTTAATTTAAAAAAAGAAAAACTTAACCTAATAAAAGTATTCAACGGCATCAAAACCAAACGGTAAAAAGCCTTTTATCAAAAAAAAACGGTAAATTCCTCTTTTTATAAACTTTTTTGCATTAAATGAAAATGACATTTAACTTTGTCTTACAAAAAGCCCACAAAGTGAAATATATGTACACATCTGTCGAAGCCCAGAATCATATAAGTAAATTAGCTGCACAGCCTAGAATCACTCGATTTCTTATCCTCGGATCTTGTAGGACAGACAAGTTCGCAAACGTGAAATTACATTTAATGTCTTATGTACAAGTTCATGTTTTATGAGCTGTAATAAACAAAAAGGAACTTTGGTCCTTTTACCAACGTGGATATTATTCTGCATGCTCATTGGCTAAGAAGTGCACAAATGAGACATGTTTCCATTTTTTTTTTACCATTTCCATTTTTTTTTTACCATTTCCATTTTTGTAAACGGATCCTCAAAAATTTTAATAGGATTTGAGGATATATATTTGTAGAAGAAACTTGAAACCCTAATTTGTTTATAACTCCACACATTGGCCGCTCAGCTGATTCTGTACTTAGCTTCTTTGATCTCCTCCTCGCCTACCTATACTGGTAACTAAATGATGATGATGATGATGTCATGTTTCCCATCTTACTCCTCTGTTTTTTTTTTCTCGTTTCCATGACATCATTGCTCGTCTTTTGTCGGCAAACTTGATAGTTCTATCGGTTTGATCGATGCAAGCTCTCCTCTTCCTTCTTTTTTTTTCTTCATGCAACTCTTAGTTGTGTTTGTTTTGGTTAAAGTTGTCTCTCTCAAGACAGAGATTCTATAGGGTTCTCTGTTCCAATGTTGTCGGATTTGATCAGTTTATTGTCTTCTTGTGTGTTCTTAAGTTACTGTCACACGCTAGGTTGTTGATTTTACGTTATGTGCGAGAATTCTCTATTATATGTCTCTGATCTTTTTGTGTGTCCTGAAACTTGTACATAGCATTATTCTTGAAGGATGTCGGAAAGATTGACGAGGATTGCTATCGTGAATAGCGATCGGTGCAAGCCGAAGAAATGTCGCCAAGAGTGCAAGAAGAGCTGTCCTGTCGTCAAGACTGGTACGTTTCCTCATCTCATTCTCGGGCTAAGGCTCTTTGTAGAGGTTTTTTGTGCATAAAAATGATCTGATTGTGTGCAATCTGTAGGGAAACTTTGTATCGAGGTGACTCCTGCTTCCAAAACTGCTTTCTTGTCAGAGGAGCTGTGCATAGGATGTGGTATCTGCGTTAAGGTACTTAGTCTATATATATACTCTAACGATGAATGTGTCACCCTTACACTAAGTGAGATTTTCCTGTGTGAAATCACAGAAATGCCCTTTTGAAGCTATTCAGATTATCAACCTCCCAAAGGACTTGGAGAAAGATACAATCCACCGTTATAATTCCAATGGTTTTAAACTACACAGGTTTGCTAATGCCTTGTGGAATCTGTTTGATCATTTGTCTTTAGTGCTCTAAAATATGTATCTTGATTTTGTAGGCTTCCAGTGCCAAGGCCTGGGCAAGTCCTAGGTTTGGTTGGAACAAATGGTATTGGTAAATCTACTGCTCTCCAAATCTTGGCTGGAAAAATCAAACCAAACCTTGGCAGATACAATGTAAATAACGCATCTCCTTCTGTGTTTCTCCTTGTGCATAGAACATGTCTGTTATATTATATAACTGTTACATATTCTGTTTGGGCAGAATCCTCCTGACTGGCATGAAATTTTGGCTCACTTCCGTGGATCAGAACTTCAAAGCTACTTCATCCGACTTAGAGAAGAGAAACTAAAGGTATAGTAGACAGTAGAAGCCAACCAGGCCATTTATTGATGAAACATTTGCCTTGACCTCTGAATTTAAAAGAGTTATTATACATAAGTCGCATAGCCTTCAAATTGTCAAAAAATTAATAAAAGATTAACCAAAAAATGTTTATGACCTTATAAATCTTAGATAATAATTGTTTCTAAGAAAGCAGTCCATTAATGAGTTTGATGCCTCCCCTTTTTGTGCAGACCGCTATGAAGCCACAACATGTGGATGCTATAAAAAAGGTTGCTAAAGGTACGCTTGGGACAGTCCTTGAGAATATGGACGAAAGAGGAATGATGTCTGAGATGTGTGATGCTATGGACTTGAACCACCTCTTGGACCGTGAAGCAACACAAGTATCTGGTGGAGAGCTACAACGTTTTGCTATTGCTGCAGTGTGTCTCAAGAAGGCAGACATATATGTGTTTGATGAACCTTCTAATTTCCTAGATGTGAGGCAAAGACTCAAAGCTGCTGAAGTTATACGTTCCCTCCTCAGACATGACAAGTTTGGTTCTATCATCTCTTCTTAAATGATTCTCTCTTTGGTTCCTGAATACAACACGATGCTTACATGATGTTTTTCTTTGCAGCTACGTGATTGTGGTGGAGCATGACCTCAGTGTACTTGATTACTTGTCGGACTTTGTTTGTTGTTTGTATGGAAAGCCGACAGCTTATGGTGTCGTGACTCTCCCCTTCTCTGTCCGAGAAGGTATCAATGTGTTCTTAGCCGGTTTTGTCCCCACAGAAAACTTGCGTTTCAGAGATGAGTCTTTGACCTTTAAGGTGAGACTTTACTAATATGGGTTCTTGTCAAGAGAGTTTATGACTGATATTGTTTTTTTCAAGGTTTCTGATACACCACAAGAGAGCGAAGGGGAAGTTAAGTCTTATGCAAGATACAAGTACCCTAACATGAGTAAGAAACTTGGAGATTTCAAGCTGGATGTAATGGAAGGAGAGTTCACAGACTCTCAGATTATTGTAATGCTTGGAGAGAACGGTACCGGGAAAACAACATTCATCAGGATGCTGGTAAAGTTTCTCTGTTCCTTGTGGGTTTAGACTCTGAAGGATGTAACATGTATAATGTATTACTAATGCAGGCAGGTGCGTTCTCAAGTGAGGACGGTGTAGAATCAGACATGCCAGAGTTTAACGTATCTTACAAACCACAAGGAAACGATTCAAAGCGTGAGTGTTCAGTGAGAGAGCTCCTACATGATAGGATACGTGATGCATACACGCATCCTCAGTTTATGTCGGATGTAATGAAACCGCTTCAGATTGAAGAGCTGATGGATCAAGCGATAAACAAACTTTCCGGTGGAGAGAGGCAGAGGGTTGCCATCACTTTATGTCTAGGTAAGCCTGCAGATATCTATCTTCTTGATGAGCCAAGTGCGCATCTAGACTCAGAGCAAAGGATCAGAGCTTCTAAAGTCATAAAACGGTTCATCCTACACACAAAGAAAACCGCTTTTGTTGTTGAGCATGACTTTATGATGGCGACCTATCTTGCGGATAAAGTCATTGTGTATGAAGGACAACCTGGTGTCAAGTGTACTGCTCATTCTCCACAGTCACTCAGCAGCGGAATGAACCTTTTCTTATCGGTAAAACGAAAGCTATTTATGTTTATTATATAGATTAATCCTTTACAGAATTGAAATAACTTGTTAGTTTTTTTTTTGCAGCACCTGAACATCACATTCAGACGAGATCCAACTAACTTTAGGCCAAGGATCAACAAGTTAGATTCCACCAAGGACAGAGAGCAAAAGCTTGCAGGATCATACTACTTCTTAGATGATTGATTGATGGACTAAAGAGAGAGTCCGAGGGAGCTTATGCATATATGATGCATCTCCAAAAGACACTCTATAACTTCAAATATGAAATTTCTGGTTCTCCAAAAAGGAACTCTAAAACTTCAAATTTGAAGTTTTGAGTAGTGAAACTTCAAATATAGAGTGTCACTATTCAAAACTTCAAATTGAAGTTTCATATTTTTCTTTGTATTTTGGTCCTTACAATTATACATTATATTTATAAGTCTTATATATTTTATGTTTTTATCATTCTAACCCTTGAAAATTCATATCTCGTTGATATTTCAAGTTTTTTTTATAAATTTAAATTTTACACATTGTTTTCACAAAAAATAAGATAAGATTAAAAATAGTTAAAATTAGAACTAGACAACAACAATATTACAAAACTTAAGGTGATATTTTATTTATAGTTTAACATTTAATTATATATTTCTATTAATAATTCATATTTTAGTGTAATATTTTATCATTTAATATTGCTGTAATATTTTTATATATGTGCTAGTTATTTATAAAAGTTCTATGAATTTAAACTAGTTATGACAAATATAAGGACCATAGTATAAAATACAAATAGTTTTAAAGTTAAAGTTAAATTTGAAGTTTTGTTTTTGGAGTATAACACCTACAAACTTCAAATATAGAGTTTTGTATACTCTAAAATAGAGTGTTTTTTTGGAGATGCTCTAAGGTGGTTTTATCTTGGGATGTGCAAGTCCCTTTGGTTCTGTTTGCTTTGATCCTAGTTAATTCATACTGAATGTAGTGTAACCGGTTTGACAATGTTGGTTTCCGGTTAGCATGATATCTTTCGGTATTTCATTAGACATTTATTGGAAAATTATGTGACATTAACCTGTTTCTGTTAGTATGAAACTTTGTTACTCTTTTCCAAAGTATGTGACATTTATTCTGCTAGTGTAACCTTTGATTCTGTTTGCTTTAATTCTGGTCCATTCATACCGGATGTAGTGTAACCGGTTTGATAGTGCTGGCGTCCGGATAGCATGAAATCATTCGTCTGCCAATGCCATAGACAATTACAGTATTTGAAAACTATATACTCCCTCCGTTTCATTTTAATTGTCATTCTACGTTTTTGTACACAAATAGAAACATTTAGTTTTACATATTTTCAAGAAAAAAACACAATTAGCTATACACCTAACCACTTTTCAACCAATAGAAAAATATAATATCATATAAAACTAATAAATTTTGTCTCGAAACTCGAAAATGATTCTTATTTTAAAACGAATTTTTTTCTCCAGAATGACAATTAATTCGAAACGGAGGGAGTAGCAGTTATCTTTTACTGGCATTATAAAACATATGGGATGATTGGTTCTATTGTAGATATAGAAATACAGCTGTAGGATTTTAGTGTGTCACTTTTATTGTTGTAGTTGTATGTTATTTTGCTGTAAAAAAATTTATATTTTGTAAAGAACTTTAGTGATTGCTTTAGGAAAAAATAAATAAAACATGAACAAACAAAAAAAAATGGATGTGTAAGACTTTAAGCCTTTAACTTACATCATGATTGGTTAAAATTAATGCTTTAAAAATAAAGCTAAAATCCTAAATTAAAACCAACCAAATTAATCAACTCCATTGTTTCTTCAAAATTTTATGAATAGTAGTGAAAAGGAAAGAGACTGAACTTTGTACTATCCAATTCCATGGTTCAACCTCAAGTTCAAGATCATAGGCAAGATCAATTCCGTTGAGAGGAGCTATATTCACCATATAAGTATATAACGTAGGTACAAGAGACTACTATACTATGTATATGTTGATGAATATTCAGTTTTTTTTCTTAACTTCTTGCAGGAGAAGTGGATAACCCTCAGAAGACGTTGGCCCTACTTGTCGCGGTGATCTTCACTTGTGTAGCTTACCTGATCCCTCTTTTCGCGGTCACTGGTGCTGTCTCGGTGGACCAGAGCAGATGGGAAACAGGGTTTCACGCAGAAGCAGCTGAGATGATTGCAGGAACATGGCTTAAGATATTGATTGAGATTGGCGCTGTTTTATCAAGTATAGGACTCTTTGAAGCTCGGTTAAGCAGTGGTGCTTATCAGCTAGAGGGTATGGCGGAGCTAGGGTTCTTACCTAAGTTCTTTGGTGTAAGATCTACATGGTTCAACACTCCTTCGGTTGGGATTCTTCTCTCAGCTCTCATGTCTCTCGGATTGCCTTACATGAACTTCACTGACATCATCTCCTCGGCTAACTTCTTGTACACGTTAGGGATGTACCTTGAGTTTGCGTCTTTCCTTTGGTTAAGAAAGAAACTACCTGAGCCAAAGAGACCTTACCGTGTCACGCTGGACATACCAGGGCTGGTGATTATGTGCTTGGTTCCTTCAGCGTTTCTCATGTTGATCATTGTGTTTGATACTAAGATTGTGTACCTACTTTGCGGTTTAATGACCATAGGAGCAGTAGGTTGGTACTTCTTGATCATTTACTTCAGGGACAAGAAGATCTTTGAGTTTAACCAAGATGTTGATTATCTTGATGATGTTAAATGAGAACAACGTCCAAAACTTGAAGAAGATCATGACCCATGATAAGAACTAAACAGAGTATTTTCTTGTCAAGCAAGGCTCTGAGTTGACAAAGCTACTAATTAGGGTTTTAAGCTGTTGCTTATGTAACACGTAAGTCTCTGATAAAAGAGAAACTGTATTGATTAATGATAGTTAATAACAACACATTAATACTGAACAGAGTCTCAAGAAGACATCATATAACTCTCAGACACAAACAAAAAGAATGAATTAAAACAAGAACTTAAAAAAATCTTTTTAGGTCAGATTGTGATCATATCTTGGCGTAATCAACAGTTTTCTTGCCATCATGTGCCTTCCTGAAGAAATATCTGACGTAGTCAGAGTACACAACGTCTCTATAAACCGGTTCCTCTCCATTTGCGACCAACTCAGGAAGAGGACCAATCACGGACTCTGGTCTTGGATTCACAAAGATAGGAACCGAGATTCTGTTGTTGTTACCGTTAGCCAAGACACGGTGCTCCACGCTCTTGTACCGACCATTGCTCAAGATCTGCATGGCGTCTCCGATATTGATCACCAAAGATCCGGGAACTGGGGGCACGTGAACCCAGTTCCCTGACGTTAGAGAACGCACATGGAGGCCACCGATCTGGTCTTGTAAGAGAATGGTGAGGGAAGAGACGTCTGAGTGGCGACCAACGCCAACTGTTAGGTCAGGGTTAGGACAGATCGGGTAGTAGTTAAGGTTGATTCGAATGGAACCCATGAAGAGTGACTCTTTTGTCTCGTCTAGCTCTTGCACATTGAGATTCTTCCCCAAATACTCTAGAAGCTTCCTCACCATTGTCTTGGACTTGTTCATGTAGTCCAGAGCTTCGTTCCTAAAATAAAAATCAAGAATTAAATATATGAATCTAGGCCTAAGCAAAAAAAAAAAAACTTGAACATATCGAGATCCAAACCGAATTCGAAATGGAAAAATCAAACTACAAAAATATCTGAACTGATATAAAATATACATGAAGCTGAAGTATTATTAAGGAACCCAATTTGATAACGGGAAAATCCTGAAAATTCGAATAACACCTAAAATATGATCCGAATATCGAAATTAATCTAAGATATGTATTTGAATTCTAAATATGTACTTAATATATTAATAATATCAAGACCTAAATAAGTATTTGAAATATTCAAATTACTATTTATTTTGATACAATATCTATAAATACTCGCATCCAAATGTATTATTATCCAAATATGAAATGAGTTCAGATCCATAGTGAGTGACAAAATTAAAAAAAAAATTACTCTAACCCAAAATATTATTAACTAAAGCCTGTTTGAAATATATAAAATTCAAATGAAGCTTAGGAAATTGGACTCCAAATCCGAAAAATCTGATCCGAACCCGAACGAGCACTCAGACGTATATGAAGAAGTAAAAATAGAGAAATATTTGACTATTGAACTCACCTGCAAACATCAGGCCAGTACTGTTCAGCTTCATCTTCAGAGACAAAGAAGAGACTGAGATAATCTTTCCACTCAAGCGCTTTCTCTGCACGAGGACTAAAACTCGTCCCGAACCTAACATTCCTCGACAACGAATTCTCCTTTGTGTATTTACTTTTCTCCTCAACAAGAAGATTAAAGAACCTGTGAGTCGCAGCCTTCATGTTATCAAGAACTTCAGAAGGAACTCCATGGTTGATCAGTTGAAAGAAACCCCATCTCTCAGCAGCGTCACATATCGCTTCAGCGACTCTGTTCTCGTCGGGATCCGACATGTCGATGATGGGAATGGCCTCGTCTGTTTGGTTCACGGACTTGTTGATGAGACGTTCTTCCAATGGTTGAATGTATTGATATGGAAGAGCTTTGATTCCTCTTTCTGACAAACCCTTTACGCCATTGCCTTTGTTAACCACGAACTCGGTTACTTCAGTTTGGTCTGCGAATAGGGCGTTGGAGAGTGTTGGAGCCATATGGTTTAAAAATTGAAATAAAGATTGTTGCTATTTTTCTTGTTTAGGGTTTGGATTGTGTTGTGAAGTTTAGTTGCAGAGAGGAGAAAGTATTTAACAGAGAAGAGAAGGAGCAATCAGCATATGTGAGCTAACAACAACCTGTACATGGCTCTCACCATGCTTCTTCTTCTGTTTTACTTTTTTCCCGCGTTATTTCTTTTATTTAAAAAAAAAATTCCATTCGTATAAAACGGATAATATTTTTTAACTGAATAAATTAATAACATTTCAAAATTTAGTCTGTACATATGGATATTTAAAGTAAAACTAATATTATTAGTTGACTAAATTAAATTAATAATATTTCTAAATTTTAGTCAATATATTTGGATATGGCGAGTTTCCGAAAGTTGTGTGTTTCTGTTAAGTATAGACTCTTAGAGAATTACTTTAACAAAATTTCAAGTATAGAACATTAATTTTGACAGAGAAAAAAATAATAACTCGTCATTTCATTATAAAATATTTTTAAAAATGCAGATTCTTGTGGTAATATTAGCTATGTAAGTAGTGTTATTCTTTTTTTTTTAAGTAATGTTATTCATGACTCAGTGAGAAAATTTCAAAGGTCCATGGATTTGATTTGTTGGATTGAATTGGATTGGTAGGTCACTTACTAATACTAGTAATGAATAAAATATTTTAGTAATCCAAAAAAGTCATACATACGTTTAATAGTTTTAGTTAGTACCTTCGTAATCATGATAAACTGTAAAATCAAATGTCATATATACGTGGACGTCGCATGTAAGATTTATATCTAACTTCTTCTATATCAACGACTATAAATAGTTTAAAGTTTAATGTTCGTTTTCAAGTTTTTGGAGGTGGTATGTATAACAAAGTCAACCCCTAACAATCTATATCCGTTGACATTGCCGCCGTAAGAAGAAAAAAAAAGGGAAAGAACCAATCACATAACCAGAAACTATGGTAATAAAATTGTGGTAGAATAAATTAAGTAAACTTTAATTTCATTTGGTAGGTAGAGACTGGAGAAGCATGGAACTAGGCATGGTTCTTGTTGTGCCAAGCAATCCAACATTAATAGAACTATTCAAAGCCCAAACCTGGTACCACCAGAGGCAGAGAGGGACAGAGGGTCCGTGTCAGAAAATTTCTCTCTCCGACAAAGTTGTCGTTTCACGCTCGTTTCTATAGGGTTTCGTGAGATGTGCAGCCTAGGGTTTTGAATCTCCACAGAGTTTCCTGAAAATCAAGCTCGACATGGTAAAACTGAAGAACAGTTTTAAAAATATCTTGCTCGTACGGGAAAAAACTAGAAGAGAATCTTGAGTGTATCATAGGCTTTTGCCAAAACCAAAAAATAAAGTGTATAAAACTGAAAAATACTGTAGAAATTTCATAGAATAGATCTAAAAAATTTTTTGTTAAGAATATAGATTTTAAAAATAAAATAACTAAAAAACAGAAACGAGGATTGAGGTTTTGGATAGGATTTCAAACTTTAAAAAATAAAAATTTAAATTTAAATTTTTAAAATAAAATGTTATTTTGGTTATTTTGGTTTTGAGATTTATTTTTATGATAAAACCTTTAAAAAGTCTATTTGAGATAATTGCCTGAAAAAGAGTAAACACTTTTTTTTAAACTACAATTTCTTGTTAAACAAGAAACCAAATAAACAAATGAAATGCTGCTCTGTTACATTATAAGGGAAGAGGAAAAAGAATACAAAAGAATTTCTAAGTCATCATCTTCTCTATTCACACAAAAAGAATAGATCAGATCAGAAATAACTTTCCATCACTTATAATTGTGTGATGTCTGCAGGTAATGACATTCCTCGCCATAACGGTGACATATGAGGCATTTGCGTTCGAGAGGAGGAGGAGAAGTAGAGTCTTGAAACAAAAGCACTTCTCGGAGACAAGTTGACTTGTTCCAGTGCATGAAACTGAAGCTCTGATGGGTAATCTCTTACACAGCCAATCCTTGGTCCTGCACCTGTTGTCCATTTACATGATAGTTGTTTCCCAAGTTGGAAAGATTTAGTTCCCTTCTTTGAGTTTATTCTTTTTAGGATTGATTCTTCTGGAATCTTAACTACTTCACTCTCCTTGGTTTCTTCTTCAACTCCTCCTCCCCTGTTTGAGCTTTGCTCTGAAGGCATTGATTCTTGTTCTAAGTCAAATGTACTAGAAGACTCCATCATTATTGGTGTTTTGATATTAGCCATCACTGTTGTTGTTTCTTCCTCTCTTGGATCAGCCATCACTGTCTTCTCAGCCTCCAAATCCTCTTCCAGAGAATGGTTTCTCATATGAGTGCTTCTCTGTTTGTAAATAGAGAACTCATCTTCATCTGTAGGACTCATCTGAAACACACAAAAGAAAACACTTATAAGAACATAACCATCACAAACTCAAGATCTAAACAAACAATCAAATCTCTTTCTCTTACCTTTACATCAGTGATGTCAACATTGTTCTCTCCAAGGAAAGAGAGAAAGTCCAAGAAGTTCTCTTCAGTAGGTTGGTAATGTCCACTATGTGGCCAAACAGCCTTAAGAACACCATTCTCAACAACTAATCTTCCTGCAGCAACAGTAGCTCCTCCAGCTAAGAAGCTTGAATGTTGAAACGTTCCCTTCTTCTTCTTCCCAATGTACAACACTTTAGATGTGCTGAGCACAAAGATCCACTTGGAATCACTATCTTCCATTGAAGAAGTTTGAAGCATTTCTCCACTGTTCTTGTAGAAGAACTTTCCTTCTTCCACAACAACCTCATAAGCTTTCCTTTCCATCTACACAAACACATAAACATGACAACAATAAAAAAGTAAGTTTCTACTTTTTATCGGTAAGGTTGCTTGTTGAGCAGGTAAAGGAAATAAATACTAACCGGACCAAGGTACTTGATACACTGTTGCTGAAGTTTCAAACGAGTACACTTCTCCACAAGATTTACTTCTTTCCCCTCTCCAATATCAAGCCTGAAACATTTCATCCAAACACACATATGTAAGTTTAGTTTTCCTGATTTGGCTCAAATCTTTTGACAGGAATGGTGAGAAGTTATTACCAGTAGAAGAAAGGTTCTCTACTCTGACATTGAAGCCACTTGTTGTAGTAAAAGTGCAGGTTGTGTCCATACCGATGTCTCGGGTCAATCTGTTGCATAAAACCAAGATCAGATTAAGTAACAATCCAAAAAGTGGTAGTAAAACAAAACTGAAGAGATTAGTCTGTCTACAACTTACAGCTTCAAGCCAGTGTTGAAGAGCAAGCTTTTGTGCCTTTTCATTCTTTGACAAACCTTTACCAACCTTAGCAGCTCTAGTCCTAGCCCTAGTCCACCTTGAAACTGCGGTTTCGTGTTTCTCAATCTCAAAGAATGATATAGAACTTCTCTTCAGCTCAGCAAAATCCAAAAGTTTCCACCTGCGATGGAAACAGAACAGTACACACAACATTAGATCACCACCACACAACACAAGATTATCTTCTTGAGATTTGAGATCAAAAACACGAACCAGCTTTGCTCCACAAGCACTGCACAATCAGCGAGCTTTCGCCTAGTACGGAAGCTTTTGTAAACTTTCTGTAACTTAATAGCAGCTTCATGCTTGGGGTTACTCGGATCAAGAACTGAGATGGCATTGTCTAACTCAAATCCATTCTCTTTGGTGTGATCTTCTTTCAAGACAGACCTGTTAAGAGAGATCATTCTCTCTAGCTGCATCCCTTTGAAGCTAACAGATTTCTCAACAACCATTTTACCACCAGATCCCACAGATTTCAAGATCGTGGGCTCTAGAGTTTTGTCGTTAAAGTTGACAGATCTCTTTGGAGTTTTGCACTCGTCATCATCACCTAAGCTTATGGACTTAACCGTGATGGAGTCTAGAGCAGCCTCCACGTCTTCTTGCTCGGCGAAGGGACATGAGAATGATACACCCATTCAAGAGATCCCAATGATAACCTGAAGAAAACGTCAAGAATCTATTATGTCTGACTCATATATATGTATATAAATATATAAACAGAGCTGTAAGTGAATTTTCACACAACTTATTAATAGATTCAGAACCTCTCGGATCTGGAAGACAGAGAAACCCAACTGAGAAGTTGAAGAAAAGACAATACAGAGAAGATTTGGATGTAGTCAAGAAGATTAAGTACCTCGAATATACGGTCGGCACTTGAAAAAAAGGTCGTTTAAGGAATCTTGAAACTTTCTTTTAACTCTTCTTGAATCTTCTTTAGAATCTGTTATTTGTAAGGTTTCTTTGTTCTTGTTTTTTTATTTTTTCTTGAGAGAGAGTGAGAAGGAGAAGATGAAGCTCACAAATCGCAAGTTACAAACTCTTCAGCGCTGGAGACTTTATATATATAATAAATAACATGAGAAGCTCCAGAGCGACAAGACAGGATAGAGATAGAGAGATTTAGAGAGAGAAAGGAAGCGGCGATATTTCCAACCACGTGTTTGTCAGAATATTCATACTAGGTCAAAGGTTCAACTCAGATTTTACTTTATTACTCACTTCTATTATCCAAAAATTTTAAAAAATATTTAAAGGTTATCAAATGTTATTATAACTTTACTAACTTCACTATTTTATAGTGATCAGGTAGTTGCATACGTGAAAATTTTATTAGGTGAATACTAGTTATTGATTTTTTTTTCAATTATATAAATGTTTATCGATTTTTAAAGTAGCATACGATGGTTTTTTCAATCAACTGCGATTTAACGAAGTTTCCTTCTTCCTTTCGTGGCGACCCACAGAATACTACTGTATTAAATTAATAGTTTTTTGGTGGGTTTTTTTTTTCTGGCTTAAAGTTTTTTTGGTGGGTTAACAAGAACAAAAAAGGGAATTAAATAAGCATACAGTTGTTATAACTTTTTTTTTGACTAATACATTGTTATAATACATATGTTTTTAATCCTAATGTAATGAGGCAATGGAATATTTCTTTGCATCTAGCGGACACTTAAATGCGTAACTTATATATGTCCCTTTAAAATATTAATTCGAAGTTTGTTTCATCGTCGTTGAGATGTAACATGCATATGGTTTAGTTGTTACTAGTTATTCCTAGTTATATAACATGATAACAAAGTAAAAGAAAATGGGATTTAAATTTAATTTTTGTAAACAACAACAAACAAAAATATACCAAAAACTAACAACAACAAACAAAAATAAGTGATTTAAATAATATTTAAGAGGCGAGTACCAGAATACATGCATATGTACACTTTCTCTTGACAATTAAGTTGATAGCGACTACTTGTCTGCTTATATGTCCCTCTAACAAACTCAACATATCTAAACTTTTTAATCGAATGCACCTTTATTCAGCAACAAGTTTAGTCAAATGGTACGTCATTTCGTATTTTTTTGGTCGAAAACGTCATTTCGTATTTTATATTAACCCCAATATACAAATACACAATCGACCACTAATAAACAGATATTAACCAAAAACGTGTACATTAGTTACACCGGTGATTACAAATATTCCTAATAGATGTATTTTTTGGTTAATTGGCATAAGTTAACCAAAAGTGAAAGGTCGCCAAGGTAGATAAAAATTTAACAGTTTTTAGAGAAATCATGATTTACTGGTTTTCACAAATATATATTGCTATAATTAATCAAACAATTCTTTTTTTGATCAAAATCAAATAATTCTTAATGTTTATAAGCAATAGGAAAACTAAAACTTGTAGGCATTCTTATATAATTTAAAATATTACACATGTACTACAAAACTGATACGGTGAAGCAAAAAGTGAGTTTGAACAAGAGGCCATATATACGCGTAACTTTACACATCATACGTACGTAGTGAGATACGTATATACTATTATATCATACATGATACATGGATAAAGTGAGACACGTAAAGAAAAAGATACGTTTTAGAGAAAATAATCATGGCTTTCTTCTCACTGAACCAAATAAATGTATAAAAAAATTATATACAAGTGAATTGATGTGATAAAGCACATAAAATAATCGCTTCAGCATAACTGATTAAATACACATTAAATTCGTATATATTAATACTAAAGTATTAACCTAAAAGTACGTTACTAATTAATTTGTCCCCAAGAGAGAAAAATAATAGCAATATTATGTTAAACATCGGTAGAAACGTAGCATAAAGCCACCGTGCTCCGTGCACATGCGCGTTTGGGATATGCCAAATAAATTATTCCAAAAGTAATCTCTATACACTCTTTTTGCGTAATGTAGTATGTACTAATGACATTACGGGTTTGATTAATAATGCAAGTTTGATGAGAATACAAAAAACACTCAGTGGTTGAAGCGTTGTTTTTGGTTTGTGAAACATGATATGATTATGAATTGCTTAAGAAATCAGACAATTTACATCTACTTTTCACCAACATATACGGTTGATAAGAAAATTTTCAATGGCTTCAAACAACCAAATATAAAAGTGTAACTTACAAAACCTACGTGTTTATTATGGTTTTTGACCAGCTTATTATGCCCATGTTTGTTAATTTTTATTATGGATCATAGCACTTAAATAATCCGATTCAACAAAGTTGTACCCTATATGATATCTCATACCATTTAACCGCTTTTATAAATGAAAAAAAAAATCCTAACAGCTGTGATTTGATTGAAAGAAATAACTCAGTACCAAGCGAACTCTAAAGTTATAATACAAACCCACATGGTCATAAATCACTTAAACACGTCGATCTTAAATGATTTTTTTTTTTCTTTTTGATAAAGGGCTATCGATCTTAAATGATTAGTAGCCATTTTTTGTTAAAAAGCATATTGTACTATTGGTGGTCATATCTTTAACATAGAATTCGTATAAATAACCTTTTAAGATCTATATGTGTATAGTTCAAACAAAACAAATTGTGAATTTTGAGTACTCCATTTTTAGAGTCCTTCAGAAACAGATAACTAAAAAGATTTGACATTTGTATCCGAATAGTAGTAAGGAAGTTCACAAAATTGTTTTGTTAACTAGAAACCCAACTAATTCATGTTAGTATATCACCGTGGAATTTCATTTATATAATTGACTAAGTTCACAAACTTGTTACAAATTTAATTAACGTGATAATACCAGTTTCACATACTCAAAGAAACAATATAGTACCATTATCGAAATGTAGGTCATCCTAATTTCTTTGTTTATAAATATAATCGATATAAAATCATTTGAAGTAGAAACATCCAACAAATAAAACGATTTCACTATGATTTCTTAATCACAAAATCGTGAACTTGGATTTCATTATCTTTATTTAGACCTTAAATTGACCAAACATATAAAATTTTGTCTTAGCACATAATGAAAAATATTTACATTTAAAAAAGCTATTTTTAAAAAAGAGTATACTTTGACGTGACTTCGGACCGTACAGAAGACGTCGGTAAGCTCACCACGTGTCAAGTCCACATCAAACCACGAGGCCGATGTCTGCTTTCAAGTACGACACCGTACCTAACATGGAGACAACCGTATCTTTTGACGGCATTCAAATTAATGACACTTTTTTATGTCTACAAGAATCTTTAGATCTGTTAAATGGTAATTATAGACAGTTCGATTTCATTAATTTACGTCGGACCCGTTATATAATCATATGAGCTCCTAAAATATGATTGCATCTGATCTAATTATAGTTGTTTTGTGAAGCTCATGTGTCTTTTGGACCATCTGGTGGGCTCGGTTATTGGGCTTCGGAAAATAACCTGAAAAAAGACATAAAGATGGAAGATAATTCCTTAGGGTATTAGGATAAAGATGTGTTCCTTTATCAACAAGGAACTACATCAAGTGTTCTAGTATAAATATAGGTCGAAGTCTCATGTTGTGATACACAGAAAAAGATATAATCTCTCACGAGAACACTGCTTGTAATTGTTTTATTCGATTCATAGTGAAACCTAAGTTTATCTCCCATTGGAGGTGGACTTGCCAACCATTCTTGTGTTTTGATTCGTAAGAAACAAAGAGAAAAGCCTAGTTTGATCTCTACAAGTGGTATCAGAGCGTAGGCTAATTGAGATCCTAGTTACAGAGATTCAAAGGCAAGATTCAATAAACAAGCAAGGAGGATTCTTATCTGGTTTGGTATAGAAGACTCGGGCTCGTGGTACTTGAAGCTTGACGGCTACAGTGTGTTATAACAACCTGAAAACAAAGTTTACAGGTTAGATAGAGAGATGGAAGCAACGCCAAGGAAATTTGAAGTAGAGAAATTCGATGGGAAGGGGGATTTTGGTCTTTGGAAGTACAAGATGCTGTGTCAGCTTGAGATTGTAGGTTTGGGTTCTGTTCTCAAGGAGAAAACTCCTTCTACGGATGATGAAGAAGGTGGAGGACTGACGAACCTTAAACCTGACCCTAAGGCACAAGATCGGGAGCTGCGTACAAAGAATTTGATCAGCATGTGCCTATCTGACCTAATTCTTAGGAAGGTTATGAATGAACCTACAGCACTTGATATGTGGAGAGCATTGGAGGCTGAGTATCAGACAAAAACCTTACCTAATCGGATCTACATGAAGCAAAGATATGCAGGTTTTAGAATGGAGGAACACAAGTCTATTGAAGAAAATCTAGACGTTTTTCTAAAACTTGTAGCTGATCTAGCAAGTCTGGACATCAAGATCAGTGACGAAGATCAAGCTATTCAGATTCTAACAAGCTTGCCTAAACAATATGAGTCTCTAGTTGATGCTCTCAAGTATGGCAGTGGGAAAGAGACATTAACAGTCCGAGATGTTACAAGCTCTGCTTATTCTAAGGAAGTTGAATTAAGAGAGAAGGGACTTCTTAACAGATCCAAAGGTAACTCAGAAGGATTGTTCGTAGGCAACAACAGAGGACGAAGCGATAGGAAGAATGACAAGACTTGGAGAGCTAGATCGAAAAGCAAGAACAGATCACAG